TTCATTTGGAGCTAGTAATGTTGGCACTTTCTGCCTAAAACGATAATATCAAGATTTCTCCTGGAAGAAAAGCTAATATTCAGCATAAAGCATGTAATACGGACTGTTTACCAATTCTGGGAATGGCAAGAAATCCAAGTTTCCAGTAGCCAAACAAGGACCAGCCTTGGCAAGCAGACCTTCCTTGGCATCAGTTTCTGGTCTTCTGTGTTAACTTTTTTTTTTTTATACTGCGTATTTTTTTTTTTTTTAAAGCCATTCTAAGTGTGACTAGGAATTTAGAAACTATAAAAGAAAAGAATGGTAAATGAGGGGCTGGGGATTTAGCTTAGCGGCATAAGTGCCTGCCTTGCAAGCAGGCAGTCGTGAGTTCGATCGATCCCTGGTACCGATAAAAACGAAAAAGACAAAAAAAAAAAAAAAAAAAGTAAATGTAAGTACATATATGGAAAGGAAAAAACAATGCTTTAGAGAGGCAGAGGCAAACTGAGAGAATAACTCTACCTATGGGAGAAAAGGAGGAGCCAGCCTCCCCATTTATAAAGTTCTTACAAATCAGCAACTGAAGAGCTGGGGATGTAGTTCAGTGGTAGGCTTTGAAGCCTCACACTTAGTCCCCAGTACTGTTAAATAAAAAGAGGAGCAAATCAGCAATTAAAAATAAGAATCAGTAATTTAAAGAAGCTATTTCATGTGACCTAAATGATATTTTACCCAAGTAAAAAAAATAGATTAAAAAGTAAAAAACGATACGATCTTTTTTCATCTATTATGTCCTCTTAAGATTAATGAATTATAATTTTTGGAAGATTGACTGCTGTGTAGGCAGGGTAGAGCGAAATTGGTACTGTACAGTGCTGACAACATAAATTGGCACAACCCTTTTGAAGGGTATTTTCTCCAAAGCTGCTAAACTTGGTAATACTCCTACCAGTATTTCTATTTCTAGGGTTTTAGCTTGCAGAAACTTGTAAGAGCAGACAGGTTCATATAGACACTTGGATGTTCTTTTGAGTGTTGCTAGTAGTACTATAAAATTGGTGATAATACAAACAAAGGAACAAATTTTTGTGCTTCCTTAGATGAAAGGATTGTTTGAACTACAAGTCATGTAAGTTTTAGATTCCCTTTAAATCCTCAGAATTTTTGGTTCCATTCTGTCTTATTTCTGAATAGGTCCTTTTGAGGTTTGTTTTGTTGCTATAACATAATTACTGAGACTGTATGATTTATAATGAAAAAGGAGTCTATTTCTTTTTTTTTTTTTTTGGTATCAGGGATCGAACTCACAACCTCGCGTGTGCCAAGGAGGCACTTATGGTACTGAGCTAAACCCCTGGCTCAAGGAGTTTATTTCTTACAGTTCTAAAAGTTGGGAAATCCAAGTTTGAGAGGCCTGCAACTGATGAGGGCTTTTATGCTAAATCAGTCCATAGTGGAAAGATGAGGAGAAGAGAGCAAGAGAAGGCTGCTTTTTCATAATGAGCCCACTGGTGCAAAGCTCACATGCTTCTGTGATAGCAACGCCTTCATGATATAATTGCCTCTTACTAGATTCTACCTTTTAGCCCTGTCGCGCTGGGGATGGGGTTTCTGACACGTGACTGTGAACTTTGGGGACATACTCAAGCCATAGTAGAGTCCTAGGCTTGTTTATTTATTTTCACTTTCTTGAAGTTGTATACAGGGATGAGGGTGAAGGATATGGTTTATCTTGCTTCTATGCCTCTAAAAACAGGATTGACAACTATATTAGGTTAAGCCTTTGATCATTTTGCTAACCTTAGCAGGTTGAAAATCTGATAGTTGGGTGTTTCTACACATGTTGAAATATCTTTCTTTCTGTAAAGTTTGGACATGATTGATTTATTTAAAGAACAGATATATTTCTAAAGCTGACCTAACAGCGTTACTTTGATGTTTCTCATTGGATATGAAAGGTTTTAATTCTCTCTTCAGTATACTCAGTCTCTTTGGGAAGAATCTCCACATGATGTTTGGTGGCCTTTTCTCCTACATCCCCTTCTCATGTACTTTTATTGCAGTTAAGGTGTTACACTTAGCGTGTGTGTGTGTGTGTGTGTGTGTGTGTGTGTGTTACTAGGGATTGAGTAACCCAGGGACTTTGCAAAAGGCTATATCCCCAAGCCTTTTTAATTTTTTAAATTTTGAGATAGTTATGCTAAGTTGTGTAAGCTGGGCTTGGACTTGTGATCCTCTTGCCTCAGCTTCTGGAATTGCCATGACACCTGGCTTTATTAAGCTTTCTTGCAAGGATGTAGATGATTGTGTCAAAATGAACTCCTCTCCAGCCCCTTTAATGATCCTCTAGTACAGCTTTTTATGAAGAACCTTTGTGTTTGTTTGTAGAACAGTTCTACAGCTCCTGTAGCTTAAATCTGTGGGAAATTTCCACTGAGTGCTGTAAAGTAGTAAGGCAGATTGCTTTTTACCTACAGCTTCTACAAATACTATGAGTTTAATTCATTCCTAAGAATTCCTTTCATAGCAATTGCCAGCATTTACCAAATAGAATCATTTGGTGTGGTAATCTCAGAGTCTCTCTGCCTGCCTTTCCTCCCATCCTTCTTTTCTTCTTTTTTTAAAATTTTATTTTTATTTTTATTTTTTGAGATAGTGTCTCATTATGCAGTTCAGGCTGGCTTTGAACTCAATATGTAGCCTAGGCTGGCCTTGTACCAGGAGTGCTAGGATTATATAGGCTGTATATCACCATGCCTGGCTGTTGTTAGTTTCTTAAACCAACCTTGATAATTCGGATTTTGCCAGTTTCCCATTAATATCCTGTGTGTGTGTGTCCTGCCCCAGGACTGTGTTATTTAATTGTAATGTCTCTGTAGCCTTCTCTGACCCAGGACAGTTTCTTAGTCTTTTATGTTTTTCATCATCTTGAAAGTCTTGAACAGTCGTAGCCTGGTAGCCTATAATGTCTCCCAGTTTGAGTTTTTATATTTTACTTATGTTTAGATTGTAGTTACAGATTTTTGGAACAAATACCAGAGTTGAAATACCTGTCACATCATATTATATATACTTAGTATCCATGAGATTTCATGGTTAAGATACTATTTTTCAGGTTTCTCTGTTTTAGCATTAACATTTTTCCCTTTACTGTTCTTTAATCTGGTTTATCCCTAAGGGCATAAAAAGGGATAAAGTAAGCTTTACTACCTATAGGGGGAAATATCTACATGTATTATTTTGAATTTTTCTATAACAAAAGCTTGCCTCTTTTTCCTGTGTTTATTTATTTAACCACTACTTTACATCTGTGGGCCCATTACTATGTTCTGTTCTTCCAGTTGATTTAACTTTAGCCATTAGGAGCTGTTTCAGGTTGTTTTCTGTATTCATTTGGATTCTTTTTGGTACTAGGAATCGAACTTGACCTCACACTTGACAGGCATATGCTGTGCCGCTGAGCTAAATCCCCAGCCCCGTTTTCTATATTTGTTTGATACGTCCCGTATCATTTCTGGGACAAGAAGATGTTTTAGATTCATCTTGTTTTTCTTCTTGCAGCAAGCCCTTGAACCCGCCATTTTCCCCAGGAAGTCTGGTTCTTTTTGCAGTAGAATAGTATTTGAAAATAGGATTGATGCCTGATGCACTTGAGGTTGCTTGTTGTTACAGATACTATGGTATCATTTCTTCTGGCCCTTTTAGGATTGATTGGATCTATTTATACTTTCCTTTGGAAAACTTGAGGCAAGCTGAAAAGTAATCCTCTGTCATGAAGGGTGGACAGTTGTCAATCAGGGCCCATTTTGGTTTCATTGATATAACCCCTCTCCATGTTTTGAAGTAAATCTTGGTAACTGTATTAGTTTACTTTTACACAGTTCAGTCTTTATCTCTTAAAAATTAGGACTTCTTTAAATCTTTACTTTTTCCTTCCTTCCTTTCTTTTTGAGATACAGATTCCCTGTGTTACTCAGGCTAGTCTTGAACTTTTGGGCTCAAGTGATCATTCTACCTTAGCCTCCCAGGTATCTGGGACTACAGGCATGTCCCACCATACCTGGCTAGATACATTCTTAAAGTATAGTAGATACAGTAGTCAGTATGAAAATGTAGAATGTGATGAATTTTTATAAATGTATACATGTGTGTAACCATCCTCCATGTCAAAATGTAGAACATTTCTAGTTCCTTGCTGGAACCTTTAATTGTTAGTGATAATTTTTTAAGAACCTTCAAGAAGCAACATAGGGCCATACCATTAGAGCACCTGTTCTTTTTTTCTCTCTGTGCTAGGGCTCAAACTGGTACCTTGAGTGTGCTAGGAAAACCTAAAAATTTAACATTAATTTCTTACAAATGCCTATCCATTTGTGAGAGTTGTACTTACATTCAGCTTTCTCTTTGCCCCTGCAGTACACTGGTTGAAGAAGTCAGGGTTGCTTGCTGTGTAGTTATTATACCTTGGGTTTTACTGAGTGTATCCCCATGATCTCACCTAATACGTTTCTCACAGTGACTTTGTTGAGAGAAACTTGTTCCTCAGTTTCTAGTTCAATAACCCCAGCACAGCAATAGGGAGTGATTCTGTATTTGGAGAAACTTTTGGTTTCACCAAAGATCTGCATCCTTGGAAACTTACCAAAGTTTTTCTCCTGAACTCTGGTAGCCAGATGTAGTGTATTTTTCAAAAACCTTCCATTCTCTCTAGTATGTAAGTCCCTTAGAAAAACTGCATAACTTTTTATGTAGGAGAGAATTTCATTACTGTTGGATTTGCATTTCTCCTTCCTAGAAAATAAATGAACAGGGCAGTCAAGATAGCACAAGTGATATTGTATACATCTTCATAGTGTTACTTTGTAGCTGTGTCAAAATCAGTTGTGCGGAGGGCTAGCTGTTGTTAAAGTTCTGATGAAGGATCTGCAGTGCAGAAAAAGAGGATTAAACTGTAAAAATAGTCTTGGTTGTATTTAATTTGCCAAGTTCTCGCTTTCCCCCCCCTTTTTATGTTATAGATCAGCTCGAACGGGTCTTTTTACGACTTGGCCATGCTGAAACAGATGAACAATTACAGAATATTATATCTAAATTCCTTCCTCCTGTTTTGCTCAAATTGTCCAGCACCCAAGAAGGGGTACGGAAAAAGGTAAGCATGTTGGAACAGTTGGGGTAGTTAAATGGTGAATAAATTGGGTGTGTATTATGAAGGGAGTTTTCTGTTATCGTTGTTGATGTCTTAGCTGGTGGCTCTAATTATACTCTTTCAACAGAGTGAGCCCTACAATTAGCTTTCATTATTTAAAAAGAGTTTACGTGAATAGCACTATGTAGACCAGGTCTAGCACCAGCCATATACTTGGCATCAGTGCCCGATAATTTTATTGAGGTAATTATTCTGGACTTTGTAGAGGCCTGATCTAATATATATGTCCTTGATTCTAGTATGAAAGGCAGGTGTTAAAGGTGGGCAAAAAATTCTTTAATTATTGGCAGACAGTGCATAAAACTTAAATGAAAGGTAAGCAAAAAGTAACTTAAAAAGTAAAATATTGTGCAACAGGTTCTGTTTTAAGATTTTGCATGGCCAGGCTTGGTGATGCATGCCTAAAATCCCAGCACTTAGGAGGCTGAGGCAGGAAGATAGTTTCAGGTCAGCCTGGACTACATAGCAAGACCCTGTCTTCAGTAAACCAAAAAAAAAGATTTTGCAAAATACTATTTTAAAAAACTGGGTGTGACATTTTTTTATTTTTAGGGTCTAAAAAAGAGTCTTGGTATATATTTCAGGCTGGCCTTGAACTCACTATGTAGGCTAGGCTGACTTCCTGACACAGTCCCTTGAGCACTTGGATTACAGGCATGTGCCACCATGCCCAGCCAGAAATAAATGTTTTTTAAACTAACTGTTCTATATGGAACATTTTCACCTTTAATTTACATGTTTCATTGATAATCTTCTTGTTTGTTTATAAATGACGTGATGGTCTTTGAACTTCCATTAGGTTTTATCCCTTGGGATACCTTAGTTGATTCACAGTCATCAGCCTGGGCAATTTAGCAACTCAAGGAGACCCTGTCTTAAACCTAATAGTAAAACAAGGCTGGTGTTCAAGTTTGAGAAACGGTACTGGTGGGAGTGATATAGTCATCCTGACTGTGGAATGGAAACCAATTCCACAGTCCAATGAGAGTAAATTGTGAACTTTTGCAATTTCAATAGAGAATGTTTAGTAGTTTTTACTTGTTTATTATATGGTATTTTTCTTTGTATTTTATCTTTCTGTATAAAATCACACTCATCACTAATCATGTACTTTAAACTTTAGGTTGTGTGTTACTTACCTCTGTTACGCTGTTTATCCTGTCACCCTTCCCACATGGAAAACTTGCATTTTTATTTTGTTTTATTAATATTGTCAAAAATATATTTAAATATTATATTCTTGTATCTTTATAAGCTTTTAGAAAAGAAAAACTGGCTGATTAGATTAACTTTTTAAAGCTTTTTAATCTTTATTCAAATTATTTTTTTCTCAGGTAAGATTTAAGTTTAATAATATAGCAATGGTTACTGTGTTCCAAGAAAAGTGCTAAGCACAGTAATTTTTTTCTTTTGTTTGTTAAGACAAGAACTCACTATGTAGACCAGGCTGACCTCAAACTTGCAGGGATCTTCCTGCCTCAGCCTTTCAAGTGGTGGGATTATAGATATATGTACCATTCCCAGTTTTATTTTTCTACAATGAGAGGCATTTCTTATATTTTAAAGATGTAGCTGAGGTTCAGAATGATTAATAAACTTATTTAAGGTCAGATAATGAGTGATTGAGCTGCAATTTGAATCTAGAGCTCTCAGACTTAAAATGCAGGTTTGACCGCCAAGTTAAGTACTTTTTTTTTTTTTGGTACTGGGAATCAAACTTAGGACCTTGTACTTGCCAGGCAGGCACTGTGCCACTGAGCTATATCCCTGGCCCTTGAGTTAAATACTTAAATGGTATGCTCAAATTTTTTATTTTTTGTAAGTTCAGAACCATTAGTTTATGAATTTTTTGATACCTTTTTGTCATACACTATATTTATATTGAGAGTGCTTTGTTATTTTTCACTTAATTAATAATTAATAAAAGCATTGATGTTAGTTTTAAAATGCTTGATGTAAAATTTGCCAGACTTTAATGCATTCTGATCTGGGACCTAGTACAAAATTTATGGCCTTTAAAATGTTTTATTTTAAAATTTTTTTTGGTGGTGTTGGGGAGTGAACTCAGGTCTTGTGCACACCATGCATACCTCTGCTACTTAGCTCTGTTCCTTTCCTTAAGCTGTATTGTACTGTTCATAAGAAACTGTGGTGAGATAAAAAGAATGTTCCTGTTTGTAGAATATGGAGCTCTAAGAATGTTCCTGTTTGTAGAATATGGAGCTCTCTAGGTCCACTGCTGTGGTTAAATTGATAGCAGTGAATTATATGCTGCTGTTGCAATTTTTTGATTTTTCTTTTAGTTTTGATAACTTTGGCTTAATGTATTTTGATAATACAAATTATTTGTAATACCTTTTAGTAGTTGCTAGAATGTTACATGGAATTTTTTCTGTTGGAAGAGAGATTTACAGTTTAAGTTTGAAAACTTTTGAAATAAGGGAAGTGGGATGCAATAGCAGAAACACCTGTTATATTTTATGCCTTATGCTATGCTCTTTCTATTTAATCTTCACAATAATCTTTGAAATGTCATTTTAACTATTGAATGAGAACAACTCAATGAGCTATAGGTGCTCTTACTATTCCATTTTATTGGCAAAAATACTGAAACTCAGAAGGTAAGTAACTATATCACATGACCAACAATGGACTATAAATATGAGATAATTCTAAAATTGAATTGTTTCTGCCAGGCAGTGCTTCGTGTAGTGGCTGAATGTGTTCATTCTTTAGCTTTCACACATGAAAATAAACTCTGTACATAAAAGTGTAGTTATACATGTTATTTTGACTCTAGATAAAGTCTTGATCTTTGTTTACCTTTATTTTCTTTTTCTTTCGGTATCAAGGATCAAACTCAGGATCTTGCATTTGCTAGGCAGGCGCTTTGCCACGGAGTTAAATCCTTGTTACCTTTAATTTACTTTCAAGTATAGCAAGTTGGTCAGACTTTTATAATTTATGTAGCAAATTATTAATATTAGTATCTCTTGTAAATTACAAAGCCAGTATGATTGGTGTACTTAGTGTTGTACCATTGTTAAACAAAGTATAGATACTTAGAACAAGTTTAGAATGCAGTTGGTTTTTAAGCGTATAACATAAAACTGTCATGTGAAAGTAGAGGATATTTTTGATAAGTGCTCATTTATAATTAATCTAAATGTGTAAATTTTCTTCTGTTGTTGGAGATTGAACCAAGAGCGTTGCACATGCTAGACAAGAATTCTAACACTGAGCTGCACCCCCACCCCATGTAAAATTTTATAATTGATGAAACTAGAATTAATTTTACAGTATTTTATCTGTTGACTTTTTAGTCAGAATTTTTGAGTTCTTTTATGCCAGTTTCATAACACATAAGACTTAACTAAGATATTGGGTAAGGCAGCTGGTAATTTCTGGTTAAGTTGCAGGAAAGAGAAATTAAAAATTTTGAATTTGTACTGACATTACTATACATGTCCTATTTTTTAAAATTTTACTTAAAAGGAAAAAGAGAAAAAACAGAACAAAACAAAACAGTGTAAGGGTACAAGTAATACAGAACTACAAAAAAAAAAAAAAAAAAAAAAACAGAAATCACCAGTTAATAGATTACACATTATCATCTTAGAGATAGTGGTTCAAGTCACAGTATCAAAGCATACGAAGTTGACATTCAAACAGTGAGACTGCAAACAGTTATGTTCAATGATCCAATCAAAAACATTAATATGGTCATCTATGTAACACACCTAAACATACTTGCTGTTGTATCCTTTAGAGCACTTTTTTCCCCCTGTTTATTACAAAAAATGTACACATTTTGGGTTTTATTATTCCCATAGTTCTTATTACTTTTTTTTTTGAAAGAGAATAAAATCAAATATGACAAAACAAAGCTGTCAGTCAAAACCAAGGATAGACATAGCACATGATGTAAAAACAGAGTACAAGGTTATCAACAATGGTTACCATAATGCCTCTTGCTTCCTTAAGAAGAATTGTCTACCTCATTAGGTATTATAACATTGAACAAAACAGTAGAGAACAAGACCAATAAAACCTAAACATTGTAAACATTACAGGACTTCAAAAGAGGATAATAGTCAAACCAGAATGGGCATTATAGTGAATCTTATTGCCTTCAAAGTAGTTGCCTATACCCTCAAACTTGATACTATCATACAGAACGAAACAGAGTCTAATCAGTCAAAACAAGATAGTGCGAGATTACAGGACTCCAAAACAAGTTAGTAGGAAATCAAAAAAGTTACTATAATATATCCTGCTAATTTTTTTGATTTTTTTTCCCCTTAGTTAAAAAGTAATAAAAAAATAATTAAATAATTTTTTAATGAATAAGGGAGAGATTGAGATAAAAGAGGACATAACAACATAGCAATATAGGTCAAAGCATGGCAGTTTCAGCAACCTAGTGCTTCATCACCAAATAACCCGACTTAATAGTAGTTACCATAGTGTCTTTTTCCTTGAAATATTTGAATATAACTTGTTATACTATAGCATCAAACATATCAAGACAGTGTAAAATATACATGTCCTATTTTAGAGAAAAATGACATTCATTGTGTAGCATTCTATTTTATAGCTAACTGTTTTTTTGTTTATTTATTTATTTTTTGGTACCAGAGATCAAACTCATGACCTTGCACTTGCCATGCATGTGCTTACACTGCTGAGCTAAATCTCTGGTGACTTTGTATATTTAGATGCATCAGAATAGCTAAAAACTAAAGCCTTGACAGTAATCAGAGTTGACAGGAACATGGGATGACTGATACTGTCAAATTACTATAATCATTTTGGAAAACTATTTGGAAATACTATTGAAGCTGAGTATATGCATACTGCCACGATTGAACACTTCTACTGTTAAATTATATACAACAAAAATAAGTACATATATGTACTAAAGACCTGTGTAAGAATGTTCAGATCAGTATTATAAGAACCCTGAACTGGAATTAATCTTTTTATCAATTAAGTGGATAATTATATTTTCATATTGGAGCAATGCAAGTGGACTACTTCTGTGAGCATCAACATGAATAATTCAAATATAATGTATAACAAAAAAGTCCAGGTCTGAGTCTACCCTTTATGATTCCATTTATACAGATTTAAAAATTGAGAATTCAAGAATGTGGTTATCTTTAAGGAGGAAGGGTTTAGTGGAGGGGGTGTGAAGTACAGGGCTTTTGGGATTCTGGTGGTTTTGTAGGTGTGTTTGTTTTGTGAAAGTGTATTGATCTGTATACTCTTGATTCTGCATTTTAATGTATGTTTTGCTTCATTTAAAATGTTTATATAACAAAAAATTGGTAATAGGGAAAACCAATGGATAAAATACTATATTCCCAAGGATGACAGATCTGTAAGCTTACTGACAGAGGTTAACTGTTACCTAGTTAACAGGGGGAAAGAACTAATTTAGCTGAATTCTTGGTGGTCTGTCTGTCTGTCTTTTTCTTTTTTTCTAGAAGATTCTAGATAGTATGTAACCAAATATGAGATTTATCAATTTGTAAGGTGATAATGTTGCTAGAATAAAAGTAGTTGATTTAAAATTCAGAATACGATTCTTGTAAAAGACATGTAATTATGGACATGATGGTCATTATCAATAATACTTTTCCATAGAGAACTTCTAGGACTCAGTCTAGATTCAGATGCCTGAAGAGGGCTCTTAGCTTTTGCCTGTTTCTTTCTGATTTCTCTTTTCATCTAACAGTATCACAGGTCAGGATCAGGTAGGAAGTTTGGAAGACATGAATGGTAATTCAAGCTTCAAGGGTCCCGAAAGGGATCATGTCTTGCACTGTAGCTTACTTGTGCTTACACATCATTGTTTGAAAAGGTAAGAAAATAGAGTGTGAAGTCACATCTTGATTTTGGCTTTTACTGTTCAGAATTTTTGGACAAGCGAATTTACTTCCATGAAGCCTCTGCTTCCTCATCCCTAAAATGAAAAGGATGACACCATTGGTTGTGAGACTCATTACACGAGGAATGAATACTGCTATGCATAAATGCAGAATGCATCAAAAACCTACTTGATAAATACAAACTTTTATTTTTTATCCTTCCCTTAATAAACATCGACTCCAGATTTTTAAATTCTTAAACGTAATCTGTTTTAGCATTGCTTTAGATTACTTTGATCTTTTGATGTTGCTTTCTTTTTTTTTTTTTTTTTGTCTTTTTCCTTTTTATCGGTACCAGGGATCGAACTCACGACTCCCTGCTTGCAAGGCAGGTGCTTATGCCAGTGAGCTAAATCCCCAGCCCTTGATGTTGCTTTCAACATCCTTACAGATTTCATTAAGGCTTTCTTTGAGGCTAGAGCAGATTTCACAAATGAGAGAGAACTATGTAGAGACCTGGCCCTCCAGATTATTTGTTTTATTAAAGTCATTTATCTTTCTTAGTTGATGTTATATAAAAATTTATTTCTCAGTGCTTAGTGCCTTACTGCTCCTCTCACAGCACATAATCATTTCATCAGAGTAGGATTGAGGCCATTTGTCATAACCTTTCCACCCACAGCAACTATTGATGTGTCAATTCCTGTTTCTGCTCTTTTCCCACTTGAAGAAGAGGAAGTGTTTTTGACTTGAATTCTTAGTAGTATCAGATGATCTTCAGAATAAAAAAAGTTTCAGTGCTTTAGCAGAATTCTTTATTATCCAGATTTGTTTTTATGAATTCATAGCATTCTGGGCTTTGGTCAAATGTAATATGCCATATTCTTTTCAAACCCTGTACCTTCTTATAACTGATTACATAGAATTCTTTTCATTTTCAAGACTCTGTGTTTTTGTTTGTTTCTCCTTGAAATGCTGCTTGATCTGAAAACCAGTAGGATCTTAACATTTTTTCTTCTTGTAAAATCTTGGCAGTTACAGACTAATATTATGCACTCTCTGAGATGTCAGATTTCCCTCCTTTAAAAGAACAAAGTGACTGTCATGTACTAAATTAATATCTGAGGAGTGAATTTATGAGGTATGATAAGAGAAACTTCAGTTTCTTTGTCTCTATTTTAGGTAATGGAGCTGCTGGTCCATCTGAATAAGCGTATAAAAAGTCGTCCCAAAATACAACTCCCAGTAGAGACATTGTTGGTTCAGTACCAGGATCCTGCTGCAGTTTCCTTTGTCACAGTGAGTGTTATTTTGTAATATTTTCTGACTTACAGTAAGTTTTGTTTCATAATGTTTATCTGTATTGTGTTGACAAGCTTAGAATTTCACCTTAGATTAGTTCTCAATGAAGCATGAGTTTTTTTTTTAAAGTAATACACTATTTTCCTACTGAATACTGATGCAAAGGAAAAGGAATAAGGTAATGAATGCTTATGACATTAGACAAAGGAATTTTGATGCAATGATTTTTCAGGTATGATATGGAAAAGAATAATAAAGAATCTAAAAAACTGATTTCGTAGAAATTGGGAGTAGAGTAGTGGTTAGTAGAGGCTGGAGAGTATGTGGGATAGAAAGTTGGGGTTCTGTGTTATAGTTGGGAGGAGAAAGGCATTCTGTTTGGCAATAGGGTGACTACAAATAGTATGTATGGTACATTTCAAAAAGCTAGAAAAAAGAATTTTGACAATTTCACCAGATTTAAACATTATATAATTATACATGCATTGAGACATCAGATGATATCTTAGGAATATGTACCATTTTTATGTGTCCAGTTAAAAATTAAAGCTCAATTATAAAACAGGTCTTCATGCTAAGTGAGATTGTGAGATGAGTCTGAGTACAAAGAAAAGGGGTACATTTAAAAAAAGAGAAGGCATATGTAAAAGTGTGGACAAAGGATAATAGAGTAAAAAAGGAGTAAAGTAGTAAGAAGACATACGAAGATGAGAGTAAGTCCTCTGTTTCTGATGTATGCATTCAGAAGGGTATCCTTTTCAAAAGTTGTAAATGAGAGACTGGTAAGAAGTTTTCCTATTAAATTGTTTTCTTCATGAAAATGAAATATAGACAGTATTGATACTCTCAGGGCTGGTGTTCTTTTTCTGCTTCTTGAGGTTCCTACTGCTGAGGGAGAATCTATTGAATCTTCTAAAATCAGGAGTCAACAAATCTTCTGGAGCCATTTTGTGGTCTAGGCATTTTGTCTATGCCTGTTGTGGATGTGCAACTCCACTACATAATGTTTTTTTCTTGAAGCAGTAAAAATACAGCGTGCCAGTAAACATGCCAAACAGATGATATTTAAAGTAATATTAGGAAACTTGTTTGCTTTAGTGAGGAATCCTTCAGAAAAGCAGACTTATATCTTATGTATAAATTTGGATATATACATGTATGGTTTGCTTCCGGTGTAGCTTTTGCATTGAGTGTAGAGATAGAGGCAGCACTCAGCTTCCTTCGGCTCATGATTCATGTCTGAGTTACTGGAGTGAAGAACCAGAGTGCTGCAGCACCCTAAGGTTGTTTTAGTAATTGACCAGGGAGGCAATAGCGGCCGGCAGTTTGTTAACACCTGGTCTCCTCCTAACTTGTAAGGGTTAGCTGACAGATTGTGATATACGATGTTAATATGTGACATGTTGGGCTAGATAGGTTAAATGATTATTTTTTTCTTTTTAGTTATAAGTAATGACATTTAGGTTAGGTCATCTTTGTCAAATGAAGCCTATTTTAAAGAAAACAGCTGGAGTGAGTTGGACTGGACTTCTTCAGTGATAACAATTGATAAAGCTGTAATAAACATCTGGAGAGAAGATGATTCATGTTGGCAGTGTTTTTAAAACCATTACTCCATATCAGCAGATGTTTTTACTGAAATTATAGAGTATTTATTTCATACTCACCTACTTTTCTCATTGTGTTAGAATTTTACTATAATTTATGTTAAAATGGGCTATCCTCGCCTACCAGTGGAAAAGCAGTGTGAACTGGCCCCTACGCTCCTAACTGCCATGGAAGGGAAGCCTCAGCCACAACAGGATAGGTATGATTTCCTCTTATTTCTTGCTTGAAGGAGTCAACAACTGCCTTTGAAATACAGGTTCACATTTGGTTTCACTTGGCAAATGGGTAGGCTTGAGCTCTTTTTTTTTTTTAAATTTTATTTAAGGAGAAAAAGAAAAGAACCAGAAAAAGGGTACAAGTTATACAGAATTTCAGAAAAAATAAACAGTAGGAAATCACTAGTTAATAGATACATATTGTCATCTTAGAAATAGTTGTTCAAGTACAAAATTAAAGCATATAAAGTGGACATTCAAACTGAGACTGAAAACAGTTCTGTTCAATGATCCAACAAACTCAGTAATATGGTTATCTATCTTATACATTTAAATATACATGCAGTTACATCCTTTAGAGCACTTTCTTTTCCTCTCTTTTGTACAATGACAATTACACATTTTGGGTTTTATTACTCCCACAGTTCTTAACTACTTTTTTTTGAAGAGAATAAAACCAAATGTGACATAACAAAACAGAGTCAGTCAAATCAAAAGGATGGACATAATACATACTGTAAAAACAAAACACAAGGTAATCAACAGTGGTTACCATAATGCCTCTTGCTATCTTAAAAAGAATTGCCTATATTATCAGTTATAATAAAATTGAACAAAACAGTAAAGAACAAAACCAATAAAACCAAAACATTGGAGACATTACAGGACTTCAAAAGAACATAATGGACTTGAGCTCTTAGCTGACAGATAGTTGAATTTTCTGTGGTGCCTCAGAGTTACTATTTTATTAATACTATTATACAGTTTCTTGATTTGAATATTAAAAAATGTGCAAGATTAATGATTTTTTTGAATCTAAGTGTATTTTTCTGTCATTTATTTTTTAAGTTGTTCCTTTTACCCGATGATGAAAATTAGAATTAAAAACCAAAACATTTTAAACTGGGCGTAGTGGGACACACCTATAATCCCAGCCTCAGGAGATTGAGGCAGGAGGAATGGCTGTGAGTTCCAGGCCAGCCTGGGCTACATTGTGAGTTCATAGTCACCATGAACTACATATTGAGACTCTGTCTCAAAGCAAAGCAAAACAACAACAAAAATAATCAAAATATTTTAATCTTGGAGGGTAAATAAGGTTCAGAGAAGTTTGTGTTACTGTGGGCATGGGTAAGATGGAAAAGTTTAGATAATACCATGTTTTTAGGCATAACCAAAAGATCTGTGTTTTCTAAAGTGCCTGTCATAATGAGAATCACTATGAAGAATGTAGAAGTTGTGAGGAGGAATGGAGCCAGTATTTTATAATGTCAGTTTGTGTGTTATGTGTATATGTATGTTTGTATATATGTATGTAGTGCTGGGGAACAAACGCTGGGCTTTATAGACACAGTTTTTCAAAGAGAGATTGTAATATAGTGGTTTATAAGTAAAATTAGTAAACTGAAACACTGTTTGGAATTGTTTTCATGTGTTTTAAGAATACCAAAAAGTGTTAGTGAAAGAAGGAGGCTAAAACTGTAATTTCATTTATGCAGTGGAAATTTTAATTTGTATCCAAAATGTAAGATTAATAAAATAATTTGGATTTTATTTTACTTAGTTGTGTGAGAGAATTTTATTGCAAGTCCATATTATAAGCTGAGCTTTAATAGAAAATTTGCTGTAGTAATTTCAGTTATTAACATTAAGCTTGTTTTCTTTTTTTGGTTTTGGTGTCGTTTTTTTCACAGATTAACTAAATGCCAGTTTTTACTCAATTTATTGAGCTTTCATAGTAAGAAAGAAAGAGAGGCCAGTCCTTAGTTTAGAACTTTATATATTAATGGTGTTGAAAATGAATGGCTCTAGCTATCAGTTTCTGTTTTGTGATTTTTGTTTTATTTGCATGTGCAAGAACCTTATTTTTAAATAGTTGCAATAAATGTAATTGTTTTTTCAGCTTAATGCATCTTTTAATACCAACCCTTTTTCACATGAAATACCCTGTTGAATCGTCAAAATCAGCTTCTCCATTTAATCTTGCTGAGAAACCAAAGACTGTGCAGCTGCTTTTGGACTTCATGCTAGATGTCCTTCTGATGCCTTATGGGTGAGTGAAAAGAGAAAAACAAAACTGAGATAAGTTTTTCTTAATTGCATTTTCTTTTTTCTTTTTTTTTTCCCCTAGGTACTAGTGATCGAACTCATGATCTAGTGCTTGCTAGGCGATTGCTTATGCTGCTGAGCTAAATCCCTGGCCTAATTACATTTTCTATGTAGAAATTTAGTGCTGTTTTATGTTTTATGTTTTATCTCACTGATTAATGCACATTTGCATCTCAGATTTTTTGCTGCAGTCTCATCCTCTTCAAAACCCTAGCTTTGTTACTTATTGGCCTTATAGATCCTGAGTTGCTATTATGATTTCAGATTCATCCTGTACAAGGTGAAATCAGTCTTTCTTCATAAAGATAGTTTTACTGACTTATGATTAATGTGATGATTCTGCCAGCTATTTGGGTGTATAATTATAAATTGTTTGTAGTTCTCATTCTTGTGACATCAATTCCATAATATCCTCTTTCTCCTTGATATTCTAGAAACTCTTCCACTGCTACCATTTAGCTCTAGCTCTTTTCAATTTCCTTTTCATCAGTTACTTTCTTAATACCCATCTACATTTCTATACAGTTTACTGATTTTTAAAACAAATACTAATCTGGTCATTCATACCTAAAATCCTTGATTTTTTTTTTTTCTCTAGTTGTTACATACAGGTACTTACAGTTTTCATGTACACATAGGTGTCCTTGTCTTTCTGTTTTGTAAGAGAATGCAGTTCTGTTGTTTCCCATCAAAAAGAAGGAAATGCCGAAAGAAGAAAAACAAATGAATAGCCATTTTTGAAAAATATACTTAGCTGGCTTAAATGTTAGCTGTTTCTCTGACAGAAATTTCTTGCCCTAAGCAGATATAATTGAACTATTTTTTGCATCCTTGTAATACTGAACACTCATATATGTGGCTACTTTGTGTTCTTATTACATTGTTGGCATTTCCTTCTATACTAATAGATTGTCAGCTTGTTGTAGTCAAAATATGCTTTAGATGGCTTTTGAACCTGGTTTGTTGCCCAGGTTGTTTTGCTACTAGCCTATGTATTATGTCCTGCTGCTAGAGACAGTTTTCTAAAGTGCTTCTTTCATCGTGTTTCTTCCCAGTCATTTATGTATATAAAAAAATATACATGGTAAGCCAAGCATATGAAACTGCACATCACATCTATCCTCCACCGAGAGACAAAAGAGTTTGGCCTGATTCCTTTTCTCTCTAGTACAGTTTCATCGGTGCCCTTTAATTTGGTAGCTTGATTTTTTTTGTGCCTTCGGGTACTCTTGTGTACTTCCATGACTGCTTTCAGATCATTTCTTATTTCTTTGTTTTTTTTGTGTGTGTCTGATAACATGACAAATGCTTCTTCCATGTGATGTTATTGTTTTCCTTTGTTCTGGATGACAGAGACTTAGTTTATATTTCCTTCTATTTTTCTGGCTTGTGCTTAGGGTTGGTACAATGGTTGGTACAATGTTACATGTTCACTACTTGATTGATTTACCCAATGCCGCTAGTCTTTCTATACCTTACAAATAAATAGAAGCCTCCTTTTATATTAGTTACATAAGGAGGCTGCCAAAATCGACAGGCAATGATCAAGTCTAAATTACTTGGGAGCACAGTGTACCCAAGTTAGTGAGGCCTCACATTTTTCTTACCAATGAGAGCTTGCCCAATTTATATGAAAACATTAGTGATTCTTTAACATATTTTTAATAAAATAGAGTGAATTTAAGAAATGAATGAATATGACATACCAGCAGTATGGAATATTTCACTTTGCTCTCAGGTTCTAAGTGGTTTCTTTAATTTTGATTCTAATGTCCCTTTTCTTTTTAAGTATGTTTGTAGTACCTAATGTTTATATTCCTTATGGGGAATTGGTTTATATGCATAGTACATTTGATTCCTTTCTTTCACCCCTATCCTTCACTTCCCTCCCTCCTCTATCTACCTCTTGATCCTCTTCCCTTTTTTGGGTACATGTTTGCAACACATAATGATTCCATTCCTTATGGGAGTTGATATATATACGTAATACATGTTAGTTTGCTTTTTTTTTTCATCCCTTCCCTTTCCCCTGCTCCCTTCCTGTCTGTTTCCCTACTGGTTTTGGACACAGGATCTCACTGTGCAGTTTAGGCTAGTCTTGAACTCACTCAAACTTGCAGTAATCCTCTTGCCTCAGTCTCCTGAATGCTAGGATTAGAGGCATGCACTACTACACCAGGCTTCCTACTTCTTACTGTTTAACTTTAATTCTGCTCTTTATTTATTCTTTTGATTTCTCATATAAGAAAAGCCATGAGATATTTAAGCTTGTGTCTGATTTATTTCACTTAACATTATGGTCTCAAAGTACATCTACTGTCCTACAAACGACTCAAGTTTATCTTTACGGCAGAGTAGTACTCCATGGTGTCTACATATCTTCTTGTCTTTTTTTCTTTTCTTTTTGGTCTTTTTGAGACAGTGTCTCACTATGCAGTTCAGGCTAGACTTGAGCTACTTTATAGCCCAGGCTGGTCTCAAGCTTGCAACGATCCTCCTGCCTCAACCTCCCGAGTGCTGGGATTATCAGTGTGTGCCACCATGCCTGGCTTAAATGCCATTTTTTTCACTATTCATCTGTTGATAGACTTACAAGTCATTTCCAAAATTTAACTATTATGAATTATGCTGCTGTAAATGTGGATGTTCATGTATTATTATGATATAATGTCTTCATTTCTTTTGGAAAGATACCTTGAAGGGGAAATATGTGTGTCACATGGAATTTTTGGTTTCAGTTTTTTGAGAAATTTCTGAACTTAATGGTATTAGTTTATATTCCCACTTTTTATTTTAATATGATTATAACATTAAAATTTATTTGCTTTGAATTTTAGAGTTGAAGGGATTTGAATTAATATTTTCATAAAATTTTATTTTGTAAATGAGGGGTACTAGCTTAATTTGATCAAAATGAATTAGAGATTTCTGTACAAGCCAGAAAGGAAGATGATAAGTTAGTAAGCCAGGGAGTGCAAAGTGCTTTGAGCATACAATGGCAAAAGCTAGTTCTTCACTACTTTTCCTCTTTGGGTTCTTGTGACTTCTTTTTACTTTGGGGGGTATTATGTACTTAGTTGGTAGAAGGTTTCAGTGGGTTTCTGATGTAGAAACACAGTGTTCAGAGAGAACTGAAAGTGTATTACAACTTAGCAGACATGAGAATGACTGTTAAAATTCTGTTTTGGATGTAGAACTGTAGTGATTTCCTTTACCTCTTTCTGTCAACAAACCTATCTTTAGCAACTAAAAACTTAGACTAAATACAGTGAGTCCACAATGACTCATAGAATAATAGGTTGTAGATTGAGAGTAAGCAAAATATTATATTTATTGTCAATTTTTCTTTTTTTTGGGGGGCTAGTTTTGTTTTGAGACAGGGTCTTGCTATGTAGTTCAGGCTGGCATTGAACTCACTGTGCAGCTCAGACTGGCATCCAACTCATGATGATCCTCCTGCCTCAGCTTCCTGAGTGCTGAGATTACAGGTGTGAGCCACCATGCCAAGTTTATTATATTCATTATTGGTAATTGTTTAACTTGCTGAAGATGTAGATACATTTTCTTAGATAACTTTAAAATCCTATATGATACAATTTTTATTTCAGATGTTTATATTTCTAGGAAAATGTTTGAGGACAGTATATATAATTGAATTTTTATGTTTATGTATATATGTACATATGAAATACATGTTTTTATAGTGTCAAACAGTATATGATTGACTATGTATATATCCAAATGCATGTGTTTTTATAAAGATTTGATTTCTTTTTCAGATATGTTTTAAATGAATCCCAGAGCCGCCAAAATTCATCTTCAGCACAGGGTTCTTCTTCAAACAGTGGGGGAAATTCTGGAATCCCGCAGCCTCCCCCAGGAATGAGCTTTTATGCAGCAAAACGAGTTATTGGTGATAACCCATGGACACCCGAACAATTAGAACAGGTATCACAGTGTCCTTGCTCATCATGGGACTTGACTTTGCACATTTACCCTTATGAAGTTCATGGAAGCATGTGTAACATAAATTCCAGTACATGCAGGCTTTCTAAAGAAGTACATTTGAAAGGAGCATTGATGTAGTGTGTTCTCTTTATCATGTAGTTTTGTTAAAGCCCTAGGGAAAGGGAGGAGTGGGAAATGGATCTTAAGTTTTTCTGACATAGTTCACATATTTCAAGTATCAAGCACAATCTGTTTATAAATTGAGTACATTTAATTTCCATAATTTTAGTTTTAAATTCAGGTTTAAAAAATATCTAGCTCCTTTGTTGCAATTAAAGTGCATATTTTATGTTAGCAACTTTTTAGGGATATACGTTATGTGAAAGTAAGGAACCTCTGCTTCACAGTGACAGTGTGGGGGAAAAGCATGACTCCCTTTTATATTTCTTCCTGGGAATTTAAAAATTGGCATTAAGAATTTTATTCTGGATTTAAACAGGACACAGATGTTCTCTGAGCAGCTTTTAAAAATGACTGGTGCTCTACAGAGAAGGTGCCTCACTGTGTCTGTGTCATCAGGCACCTCAGGGAAGAACAGATGAGATCAGTATGTAATTATTTTGGAGTTCAAGCAACATGGGTTAGTCTTCTAATCCTTCCTTTATTTCTCCATGGAAGTCTCAATGATTTGATCCTTTTGTTTTTGGGAATGTAAGTGACCCATTGATCAAACTGTTCCCAGAAGAGGGATAAAGAGGCAAGTGGGGCATTTTTGCCACTCACAAATTTATAGAATATTTTATTCAGTGAAGGTTATAACTAATTAGATTTGCTCCCTTGTATTTTATTTATCTTTTTCCCCCTCCTTAAACTATGATGTAAGTAAGGTAATAGTAACAGAAGCTACCTTTATTGAATGATCGGTGACAGGCACTGTACTGAGTACTTTTTCTCATTTAATCCTCCCAGCAACCCAATGAGGCATAGAAATTGTTCGTTTCATTTTAAAAGGCACTAAGGCACTGGGGTTTTGAAATTCATCATGGTCTTATGGACTGGCCTTTGAACTTAGTTCTGTCTGAGGGTTAAAGCTACAAATACTGGAGATTAATTCGTAATACTCATTTGTAATCTTACAGGGTTTTTTTTTTTTTTTTGGTGGTGCAAGGCATCAAACCCAGCTCCTGAGCATGCTAGACAGGTGCTGTGCTACTGAGCTACATGTCCAGCCTAATTATTATCTTATGTTGGTTGTTATTTGCTGAAATGAAAGGACTGATATATGCATTTTTTCAGTTTTGTAATCTAGTGCTTAAATGAACAGTTAATGGATGAAATCTGTTTTTTCCTAATTTAAAATATCTTATTTTACAGTATTTCTTCCAAATAAAGCAACTTCTGTTTTTTTGTAATTATAAAGTTAGAAATTTAAATAGTTAAGAATAGTATAAGAGTAGGAATGTAGCTCAGTGGTAGAATGCCAAGCTTGTGCAGGGCCTCTGGTTTATTCCTCAGAACTGGGAAAAAACAGTATAAACAAAAAATGAAAAATTACCTGGACTCCTGACTTCCTACTTTCCTGTTCATCTATATTTTACTATATGTGTGTATGTGTGAATAACAGTGTTATATAGTACAATTTTACGTGTCATTTGTAGTTTACTTTTTTCGTTTAGTAATATTTCTGCTTCAGAAGTCATTCTTTTTTAATGTTTGTGTAAAATTTAGTTAGATGCAATGTTTTTTACTAGTCTCCTTTCCATGGACATCTGTGTCATTTTCACTTGCTTTTACAGGTTTTTGTTTATATCTTTGTGTACTTGACTTCCGTAACTGTCCTTTTGTGGCTTATGTAAATGAGTCTTTTTTTTTTTATTATAGCACTTATTACAAAGAAACAGGAGAATGATCTGTTACATGTTTTTTAAAAAATTGAATCCTATCTCATTTAATAATTGTGAACTTAATCCATATGTGTAATTTTTAAAACATGAAGATAAAGTTTTATTTCTCGGATTTGTTTATCCTAGTTTTATTTGCAGTGAAATTCATAGCTCTTTCACACTGTATGAAGTTCTAAGTGGAATCTCTCTTTAATTTGTGTTTCATTTCAGCCAGTCATTTAGATTGAATACTGTTTGATGAGAATTATACTTGCTTTAAGTAGAGTGTATTTTTTTTTTTGTCTTTTTCCTGTTTTTATCGGTACCAGGGATCAAACTCATGACTGCCTGCTTGCAAGGCAGGCGCTTCTGCCGCTGAGCTAAATCCCCAGCCCAAGTAGAGTGTATTTGAAATCACATTCTTTGTTTTTATATCTAAGCATATAAAGGGCAGGAGTTTGCCAGTTAATAAAATAATGTAATTCTGTGGAATATAAGTTGTTCAGTTTTTTTGAACTTTTGTACAAATTCATGGGGTACTTTATTTTTCATGTAAAACCATCTAGCCTGGAATGCTCAAGAGTGAGGTTCTGTAACCTCAGTACAGGAGCTTGGTATCATAATTGCTTTAAAGTCAGAGAAACTTGAATTTGGATTGTGCCATCATCATTTTCAGTGGCTTACTCACTTAAATCTTGCCTCAGTTTCCACATCTGAAAGATGTGTGTAGTACCACATGCCTCATAGACTGTGAGGGTTAAATGAACTCACAGAATACATGATTTGGTACAGTCCCTGGCATACTGTAAATCTAAGCAGGAGCTGCTGCTACTGTTGTTAATACTAATCCTTGGTTTATAATCACACTGCTACATTAACACTTTTGGGAGTGTTTTTTGTTTCTGTGACAGTTTTTCTGCTTCCCTTCATTTATTTACAGTGTAAATTGGGCATTGTGAAGTTCATAGAAGCTGAACAGGTGCCTGAACTTGAAGCTGTTCTTCACCTAGTGATTGCTTCTAGTGACACACGCCACAGTGTGGCAACAGCAGCAGACTTGGAACTGAAAAGCAAGCAAAGGTAACTGCTTTTCTTTTAAGCTTTCAGAAATGAAAGGACCACATTTCTAAAGGCTTTCTTTTAAGATTTTATGAAATGTAGTATTCAAATTAGGATATTATGAATTATATCTAGTTATAATAAGTAAAGTTTACCAAAGAACAGCTGAAGAAGAGTTGTTTGTAAGTGCAGTTTAAAGCTAGCAGAAGTTAGGAATGTCATCAGAAGAAATACGACTTTTGACTAGGTAAATGGACTTTACGTAGTTGACCCTTAAGAAAAAAGATAGCAGGTCCATGAAAGTTTTTATTTCTAAGTCTTCCTTTGTCATGAACCATTTGAGATTGCCTTCCATGAAGATATGTGTATTATGGTTAAACAGTGAAAATCAGGCTCATGAAAAAAGTTGTTGCATAAATCCTAATTCACATAGGAGGTGCAAATAGTAAGTAGACCCATGACAATATTCAATATATAAAATCAGTGAAAAATAAAACAGTGGGATACCAGTTTACCTGTAAACTGGTAAACTTATATAGCTTATATCAATTTTATTTGCACAAGTATAGCATAGCTTGAAAGCAGAACAAGTGTTAAAAGGCAGAATGTGTATAGTTTAGTAAAACCTCATTTAGTGCAGTGAAATGAAGAATTGCATTATTGAAGGTCTATTGATTACTTTTTTCTTATTGCTGGGACAAAATACTCAAGGTGCAAAATTAAGGAAGGAAAGGTTTATTTAGCTCACAATTTATAGAAGTTTCAGTCCACAATCAGCTAACTCCAAGGCAAGGTGGCATGGCACAGGGGCACATTGTAGGGTGGCAGGAGACAGCAAAAGCAACAAGAACAAAAGAAGATGGGGGAAAGCAAGTGTCTTTTCCTCCCTTAATATTTTAAGCAGGGTCCCTCCCCCCACTCTCCTCACGTCAGGTGTAGCACTCACACCCATCTCACTGCCCTCCTGTTGCACAGAATGAAGGTGTTTGCAAAGTATAGATCCTGGCTCCCTGATGATTTACTTAAACTGCTAAACTTCTCAAGTTGACATAATGTATCAACCATTACAATCCACCCCTTGTCAAGTTGTAACTAGACACATTTCTTTAAACTGTTTCCATATATGAAGACATGGTTACTCTTAACATTTCACAGCTTGAACATTATAACACAGGTTTAATTATCCTTAAGAACCCGTATTAAGTCTATCAATGTTATATTACATTAGAATCGTAACATTCTACCCCTGGCCCTCCAAAGACTCATGCAGATCCCTTTATGCAAAAAAAACATTTAGTTCATTGGTGAGACTTGCCAAAGTCTTAACAGTTTCAGCATTGCTGAAAAGTCCAAGTCCCAAGTCTTCTCCTAAATATAACACCAACTCTTAGTTGCAATCCTCTGTACAGATAAAAAGTTAACACTTGTACCATTCATTGGCACAAGATAAACATTTTCATTCCAAAAATTAAGAATAAGAATACAAAGAATTGGGCTAAAACAAGTCCAAAATCTAGCAGGGCAAACATTAAGTCCTGTAGTTTCATGCCCAGCATCTGAGGCAACCTGTGGCACATTATGAGCTACAGCATGGCTCCACCCCTGTGGCAGTTCTGGTGGTTGTAGCTTTCATGGCTTTTCTCTTGGGCTGGCCTTGCTCCCACCTTGCAGCTTTCCTTAGACAATACACATTCCTGGCTTCTTCAAACTTCTGGGGTCTCCATTGTACCTTTGGCTTCATCCTCACAGCTTCCTACACTGCCCTCTCAGGGGCATACTGCTTGCCTTTGCAGGCTGTTTTCTGAAATGAAGGCAGAAACTTTAACTTCATAACTCTTGCATTCTGCATGCACCTAAAAACAGTGCCACATGGATGATGCCAACGTCTGCTGCCAGCTGGACCAGTAGCAAGGCTTTTCTTTCTTAGCTATAGGTGTTGAGTGCCTGGATTTCTGGGCACTCAGTCCAATTCTGAGAAGAACAAATTTTCTATGCTGCCGCCATTCTGGAGAATGGTGCTCTGTGATTTTCTCCTCAAAGCAAAGTCTTTCACTTTTGCAGTTTTAAAGTTGCAAAGGGTGGAGACCTGCTGCTTTTTGTGATGCTTTTAGGCCATCTTTTTTATTCTTTTGTTCCTTCTCAGCAGTAGCAGTTTCCTCATCTCTATCTTTGAAGTCCACAGCTTTATCAGAGCTTGTTTTCTGACCAGATTTACTGTGTTTTAAATCACCTTACTGGGCTCTTTGCTTTTGTTTTACAACATAAATCTGGCTGAAAGCCCCCAATAATAGCCATGCCACTGCTTCAACATTCAGCTGCCTTGAAATTTTTTCTGCCAGGTTAATTAGTCACTGCCCTTAATCTGTCTCAGGCAAAGTCTCTGGACACAAGCAGAATACAAACTTTTTGCCAAGCCATGACATTCATCATCTGGGGTTCAGTGCTTAATGCAGTCCTTCTTCCCCACAGAAACCTCCCGAGCCTGGTCTTTACTACAGGATTTCTGCCAACTTTCTGGTCTTCTGAACTCTGACCAGACTCTCCCATACAGAATTCTGAACTTTTCCAAACTCTTCCCACAAGCCATTTCCAAAAGTGCTTGAACCATGTGGTCAGGTATAGTCACAGCAATGACCTCACTCCTCTGGTACCAAATTCGTCTTGGTTATTGTTTTCTCATTGTTGAAAGAAAATACTCAATGCCCAGAATTAAGGAAGGAAAGGTTTATTTAACTTACAGTTTGTAGAGGTTTCAGTCCACAGTCAGCTGGCTCCAAAGCAGGGTGGTATGGTATAGGGCTAACAGTTCTAGGCAGGAAGGCAGCAAAAGCAACAAGAGCAAAAGGAGGGGACAAGTGTCTTTTCCTCCCTTATATTGTAAGCAGGATACCCCCTACTCCACCAGGACGGATTTAGCACTCATGCTGTCTCTCTGCCCTCTTGTACAGTATGAGGATATTTACAAAATGAGGACCCTGGCTCCTTGCTGAGTTGCTTAAACTTCTGAACTTCACAAATTGATGCAGTATATCAACCATTACATTAGGTTTATAAAATGATTATAAAATGGATAAGGTCTACTCTGTGTGTGTGTTTGTGTTGGTATCATTTTGTGTCCAGTTCCTTTATATCCTAATTCACTTTTTGTTTAACCCAACAAAACTCAACGTCAAATGGCAACATGACTCCTCTATAGAATCGCATGCAGAAGCTGCTAATATGTGGTGGTGGTAGATAAGGAAGAAGGGATACTTAGAATCATATGACATAACACTAGCCATAATACTTATTGTCCCACTTGTCACTTTCTATGTGGTTAAACAGAAGAATCACCCTCTGTTACGTATCTCCTTGAATAGGCATAGTATACTTCTGCTTTGTTGAGCAACTCTGACCTTGATCCTGAGATCCTATATATTAGGAATGTAGCCAAATTTTCTTGTGTGGAACCATTGGGTCACTAGATACAATAATTTGTTGAATCAAGGTGGGATAAGTGATTCACTTTGTTTCTAAAGATAATTTTGATAGAAGTTACTTCCTTCATTTCTTGTCTTCACCAGTATCAACTGCTTATTTCATTTTGTGTATTTCTAATATTTTCCTTTGGTAATAAGTATTGGGTTACAATTTTTTGAAGTCATTGAAGTGAGAGGAAAAATAATTTTAACACTTTGTACTGTATCCTTCTCTAGCTTAATTGACTGGAATAATCCTGCCATCGTCAATAAGATGTACAAGGTATACCTTGGAGATATACCACTGAAGACAAAAGAGGTTGGTGGTTTTGATTTGTTCCCACATTAGCATAAAAAACATTTCTTTGACATGAGGTATATACATTTGTACATTTTTTTTATAGTCATCTTGATTTAAGCTGAATCTGTGTTAAATACTAGTTTTTAAGCCCTACTAATCTAGATGAATTAAAATCTCCTAGTAACTGTGTTTACTAGATTTGGTGTTTTTAATTCACTTGGATAAGTAATGAGGGTGTTTTATTTGGACTAGGCATTAGCAAATTTTTGTAAATATTTTAGGCTTTGCACACCTTTAGATTTCAAGGCTGTAACTGCTCAATTCTTTTTTAAGAGGAAAGAAGTGATATCTAGTAGATAACTACATTAGCATGTTGTGTTCCAGTAAAACTTCGTGGACATTTGAATGTCCTATAATTTTCACGTGTTATAAGATATTGTTCCTTTTTAAAAACCATTTAAAAAACATAAGTGGGATGTGGTGGAGCATACCTGTAATCTCAGCTCTTGGGACTGGGGATTTGGCTCAGTGGCACAGCACCTGCCTGGCAAGCATGAGGTCATCCTGAGTTCAATTCCCAGCGCACCGCCCCTCCCCCCCCCCCGCCCGCCCTGCCACCAAAAAAGAAAAACATAATCAACCATAAGCATACAAATACAATTTGGAGCCTTGGCCAGATGTGGTGGTACACACCTGTAACCCAAGCATTTGGGAGCCTGAGGCAGAAGGGTTAGTGTGAGTTGAGGGCAGTCTGGGCTACAAAATAAGTTCAAGGCCAATCTGACCTACATAGTGAAACCCTGTCTCAAAACGACAAAAAAACCCCACAGAAAACAAAAACAAAAAACTCAGCTCTTGCGAGGATAAGCAGAAAGATCAGTTTGACTTACATAGTGAAACCCTGTCTCAAAATGACAAAGAACTCCCACAAAAACCAAAAACCAAAAACAAAAACTCAACTCTTGGGAGGCTGAGGCAGGATGATTGTGAGTCTGAAGCTCACATGAGATGCAGAGTGAGTTCAAGACCAGTTTGGACTACATAGTGAGACTCTGTCTCAAAAAACAGAACAACATAGGAGCTGGGGATTTAGCTCAGTGGCATAAGCACCTGCCTTGCAAAGCAGGCGGTCGTGAGTTCGATCCCTGGTTCTGATAAAAAAGAAAAAGATAACAAAACAAAACAAAACAAAACCAGAACAACAAAAAAAAGGTAAAATGGTTCTAATTCACAGGCCATATCTAAACAGATTATTTGGCCTGAGGGCTATAGTGTACTGGTGCTTGCTCTAGACTCTAGAACAAAAGATGGATTCTTCTGTAACCTTAAAATAAAACTTTATTAGTAACAAATCCTATTCACATTTTGTTCTGCTCACTTCTGTTCTGTTTTTGAGAATGAATCTTGCTGTATAGTTCAGGTTGGCCTTGGAATCACTGAGTAGCCCAAGCTGGCCTTGGAACAGTCTTCCTGTCTCAGCCTCTTGAGTGCCAGGATTATAGGCATATGCCAACATGCCCAGCTTCTTGCTTGTGTTTAAACATGTTACATGTTCTGATTCCGACATGCAAGCATATGGTATGTTTGCTTCCTTGGTTTTCTTGCTTTTTAAACCATATCAGCTCCAATTGGATTAAATTGAGTGTGGTATTACAGGAAGAAAAATGAATCGAGACCCCTGAATTCAAACCCTGAACGACTGCACATGAGTTTGTTGGGGAGGAGAGAGCTGACTGATGACAGACCTTTGGACTACATCTCCTTTATGTAGAAAATGAAGGAGTTGGATTAGAGTGGTTCTCACAGTGTGATCATGGCCGTTTCAGGATCAGCGAGCTGCTTTAGCAAACACAAGAAATTACTTGCCTTTTAAGAAACTGTGGCTATTTACATTGATAGTAGTACTGAAGCAGTGGTGGGTTTACATGTTGGGATCTTGCCGCAAATCAGATTCATGTCACCAAGTAGTAGTAGCAGCTGTTCTGTTCTTCACTGGCAAATGTACAAAATGCAAAACATGAAATAAAAGAGAAAAAATAAAACTCAGCTTTAGTTAATATCCTGAAAACAATAGAAATGATTTTATTATGGTAATTGAGATAAGTTTGGGGCAGATAACAGTTTCTTAAAGAAAAAAATAAAGTCAATTCAAGGAAAAGAGATGATTTTGGGGAATAATGAAAACTTGATGATGCAAGGAAAATTTAATATTGCGAAAAGCTTGAACTCACCATAGTGACTGGACAGCTTATCAGTTCTTACAACTTTTCTCACAAGATTGGTAATAATATGATTTTTTGGTGTTGATTTGTGTGCTAGGATGAAACATTTGCTTAACTCAGTGGGCTAGTATTTTCCAGATGAGAGTGATGTTACAGAAAGTACATGAATGAATCATTGAAAGTGCAAGCAGACCAATGTTACTTAGCAAAACAGAATGTGCAGAAGCTCACTGGTTTGGTTTAAACTCCAAATTACAACTAACTTTTGAAAAGTTACATGTCAAGTTTTGGTATAGTATCAAAAAAGATTCACTATTACCTGGAGAGGCTAAGATATCTCTACTTTTCTAACATGTCTTAATTACTTTTCTTGCTGAGACAAAAATACCTAACATCTGAAGTTAAAAGGAGGAAAGGTTTATTTATCTCAGTTTGTAGTGGTTTTAGTCCATAAGCTACTGGCTCCAAGGCAGGGTGGCACATGGCAGAATGGCAGCTATTCATGACATCAGAAGACAGCAGAAGGGACAAGGAAGGGACAAGCCTGCTTTTGTTCCTTACATTATAGGCAGCCTACCCACTTTAGGGCAGGTGTAGCACTAACACCCTTAATCCTAGCCAGAGCTGTCCCAAACTAATCAGTGGACTAATTCACCAGTCTCATACCCTTAATCCTAGCATCACACATTCTAGATTCAGCTACCTCTGAATACCATACCGCAGGAAGCTTTGGGGAAACTTAGACACAAACCACTACGTAGTATACTTGTGTAAACGGGTTGCATCACATTTTTCTATCTAAAAAACGTGCCATAACAAGTTGAATGCAAAACAATATGTAAGAATCCAGCTGTCCTCCAGTAAGGTGGATATTGAGGCTAATTGCATAAAGTGTAAAAAAAAAATGCTGTACCTTCAGTGCAGTATTTCAGAAAATGTAAATATTTCTCATAAAAATTTTATTTATGAAAATATATGAGTTAGTCTCTAAGTGAATAAATACATTTTAAAATTTCTCAGTTTTAATACCTAGTATAAGAAATGCTGATAGGTTATACTGATACAATTGAAAGATTTGGACTTTTCTATAATCTTTAAAAGTATAAGGCAATAAATAATTTTGAGATACTGAGTCATAATTGAACATATTTCCTACAGGGAGCAGTTCTGAAGCCTGAGCTGAAAAGGGACCCTGTTAGTACTAGAGTCAAGTTAAAGATTGTTCCTCATCTCCTTCGTTCTAGACAAGCTGCTGAAACCTTTCCAGCTAACATCCAGGTACTTCGTTTTTTTCCAGAGAAAAGTGACTGATCTGAATGAACTTCTGTGTCTATTCATTAGAGAAACAGTTGTGTTGAGGTATATTCCAAAGATAGGTTGATATGAGATTTTTTTTTCTTTTTTCAGTTTTTCTGTAGAAAGGAGTTTTTAAAAATTATTATATAGAGTTTGCATAGTTTCCATTTACCCTGAATTTTTGGTAATACTACCTTTAAATCTGTATGTGTCTGTTTTTGTGAAAGTGGTACCACCAGAAACCTAGTCATTAAGTAGAAAAAAAAAATGAAGTTGTCTTAGTGAAGGCAGTGGCCAATTCTTCTTGATTTTTGCCTTTCTAATGTGTCTCTCTCTCTCTCTCTCACTTGCTCTCTTGCTCTTTCTTTTTGTTTTTGGTCTAAGGTTGGTATTAATTGAGCTGCTAATTCTTACTTTGGTTATTACAGAAGCCTTTTACCTTTTCTCTCTGCCTCTAGTCTGGTCCACATCCATTCTGTTTTCTGTATTGCCACTAGAATCAACTTTGCAACTGGAAATCCTTGTGTTTTATGTTGGTGAAGGATGTAAGCTTTGCAAAAGATCTTGCCTTTTATCTGAGTCATAATCAACTCAACTCTGGAGGCAAATGTTTTTGGGCATAATTTATACTATAATTTATACTCTACTTAACTATTTGCTTACTTTCTTGCATTTTTTATTGTAAAATATACATAAAATTTACTAAAAAGTACTATTTTAATAATTTTTAAGTATATAGTTCATGGGTATTAAATATATAATGTTGTGTAGTCATCACTGTTCATTCTCATATCTCTTTTCATCTTACAAAACTGAAGCTCATAGTTTTCCTAATTTGGCTTTGCTTGTGCCTTTCTAGAAATTTTAAATGGCTGCTGACTTTTCTGGTCTTATAGTTACATCCAGTGTTGGCAGTGCAAAATGGCACCCAGGTTGAAGTTTTCTAGAAATCTGCTGTTGGTGTTTTGTCACAGTTTCACTACTAAAGGGTGACCCACGCTCAGGTTTATCCCTGCTGTAGTGTTGGTGTGTTTTTTCAGAAAGAAACAGAAGAGTACGTAGGAAGAGTGGCCATCTCCACAAACGTCTCCCAGGGGTTGGTGTGGGATCTGTTTGTTCACACTTACTGGACTGTGGTCAGGTACTGTGGATGGACCACCAGTCCCAGGCTTCTGTGGTGCATCTGTGACTATTAATGCTGCCAAGCTGTGTCTGACCCTCAGCCCACAGCCTATCAAGACTAGGATAGCATTGAGGAAGGGCCACTGTCCATGCTGCAGTGCGCTGTCAGTTGCTGAGAGGACTTATCTATCGTCCAGGACTGCTGCAGTCACCCATGATCATTGCTAACTGGAATAGAAGTCTGGTAGTTTGGGGCTCAGTGTCTTCTCTTGGCACTGGGGCTATTGTAGAGGTACTCTCTTTAGGTAGAGTTCTAGGACAAGGTCCAGTGCTTACTACCACATTCTACCCCAGCAAATTTAGTCTGCTTGATGCTAGGGCAGATCTTAGAGGCTTTGTGAGCTCTGACCTGTATATGGGACTTTCAGTTTCTGCTATTGCAGGCTTGGTACTGGGCTCTGAGACTAAGTCTTATGCTAGCTTTTGTGCCCTGTTCCTTAGTGAGTAGTTTTTCTACATGCTCTATTGCCTGGACATGGAAGGATGATGCAGGCAGCCTCTATCTGCCTGGCTATGCAGTTCTAGTGGCTCAGTCTGCAGGCACTGGTCTGGTGGGAGGGATCACAGATTCTGCACAGCGTGGGATTTCACAGTGATGGGCCTGGCACTAGGTTTCAAGACTGAAGTCTAGACTGCTTTTTCTCAAGCAAGAGACAGTGCTGCTTAGAGTGGGTAGGTGTGAGCCTGGCAGTCCCTACCTTCTTGGCTTCTTCACTGTGCTTTTCCTTTTTATTATATTAAAAGCAGATATTGTTGTTTCTCACTGTAGTTTTTCCTTTTAAGCTCATCTGAAGGCAGTTTGCTATGTTAGTAGCTGTTCATCTTGGAGTGTCTGTGTGGACACCACTCTGGAGAATCTTATTCAGTTGTCACCTTGCTCCACTCTCTCCACAGATAGCTGGCATTATTATGGTGATGTAGTTTATTTTTATTTCTGGTTAGTTTTGTTTTAACCATTCAATTTCGTTACTGCTTTTGGCATCAGTTGAGATAATCATGTGGTCCTCCCTCTCCCACATTCTGTTAACATGGATTACTATATTGAATGATTTTTGTGGGTTGAATTTCTTGGGTTTCCAGGAGTAAAGGCCATTTGGTGATGCTGTATATGTTTTCTAATCACTATGAATTCAGTTGTTTTTTTTGTATCAGTGTTTATATTAGTCTGTAGTTTTCTTCACATGTCAATTCGTTTTGATCTTCAGCCTCAAATTCTTTCCTTCCTTCCTCCCTTTTTCCTCTCCTCTCTTATCCTCTCCTCTCCTCCCATTTCCCTCCTCTCTTCCCTTCTCATCTCCTTTTCATCTTGCTTTTCTTCCCATCCGCTTTCCCTTCCCACCTCCTTCCCATCTTTCTTCCCACCGTATTTCCTTTCTCTTTTCATGTTCCGTCCACCTCCTTTCCTTTCCCATCACTCTCCCATTTTTCTGCCCTTCCCGACTCCCTGCCATTGTCCTCCTTCCCATGTCCTTTCCCTTCTCATTTCTTTTCCAGCTCCCTTCCCTTCCCATCTCCCTCAGCTCCTTTCCATCTTTCTTCCTACCATTTCCTTTCCTTCTCCTTTCCCTTCCCCTCCCATCTCCCTTTCCATATGCAGTAACCTACTGCATGACAATACTGTGAAAAAAAATTGGCTAATGGAGAGGAAGTTTAGAATACAAAGGCTGGTACTCATTCAGTTAGGTTCTCAATAAATGGTGGGAGTTTACAAGTTACTTCCTTTTTAGTCTCATCTCTCACCACCCGCTTCTTTGCACCTGTGCCCCGGTGGAACACCCTGCTCCTTGAGTACTCTGTTTTTACCCTTATGCCTTCATTGATGATGCTTTTCTTTGCTTTTTAGCCTGGAAAATACCTGTTCATTTTTCAGTATTTGCCCAAATTTGCCATCTCCTGACTGAGGTGTGTTTCCAGTTCCTCCCTCATCTCCTTTTGCACAGTGGGCGCAGACTTCTGCCCTTAGATCGGTCTGTCTTAAGGATTATTTTTTTATGGGCCCATTTTATCCTTTCAGATAATGGAACTTTATTTTCCAGTACCTACAGGAGCTCGAGTGGTGCGGTTGGTTAGTGTGTGGTACTTATACAGTGCTTAGTGAAAATAGATACTGATATTTGAATAATTTCAAGTTCTCTTCTATGTCTCCATAAATATAAAATTTCTATAGATGTTCTTAGATTTGTTGTCAGGCATTGTTTCTCAGATAATATCTTGATAATTTTGATTCATAAAATATGATATAACATGTTATAAAAATATTTGTATATTTCCAGTAGATTTTCACTTTAGTTCTAGTTATATGTTTAAAAAGTAAGTCAAGCGGCCGGGGGGTTTGCTTAGCGGCACAAGCACCTGTCTGGCAAGTGTGAGGTCATGAATTTGATCCCCAGTACTGGTGAGAAAAAAAATAAAGCTACAATTACGCATTTTCAAAGGCAAAACTCATTGCCTGTTATTCATAAACATTCTTTTCTTATATTTCTTTGTTTCTGTGGTGCTGAGGATTGAACCCAGGGTCTCAGGCATTTGTATTCCCATTTCTAATGACAGTGTTACTGTTCTTCTGTATAGTTTGCCCTTCCTGCTTCTTCATCTATCTGTCAGTCTCTGAATCTGAGACACCATTTGAATGAGTCTGTTCTTTCTTACCACTTGGCATGTGATACTTCACCTTGATTCTGAACATATAAAAGTATCCAATATAGTTCTTTACATGTAATATTTTGCCACAAATCTTATTTTTTCTCCCAAGATGATATTGTTCCAGTTCATGTTTGTTTTCCTTATCTTAGTGTATGATTCTGCATAATGTGAAGTAATCAGATTAATGCTCTAATAAATGTCTTCTCCAAATAATGTAGCACCAAGTAATATTTTGTTCTGTATCATTTTAAATCTATATACATCTTAGCTCCTTAATAAGATTGAACGCTTTGATAATAGTGCTTATTTTTTGATGTCTTATGGTAACTAGCATCGTGGCAGTTATTAAGCCAGATACTTTATGCTGATTTGTAGCCCACATACTATTGTTAAGAGGATAATACTATTAGTAGTTTAGGAAGGAGGATATAAAACTTTTGTTTTGTTTTTAAGTACCTTTCCTATAAACAGTAAGAATTTGAGGGGTTTAGATATCTTTAGTGTGATATTTAATATTATAACCTCCTGGATGGTGCACAGAACTCATCTACATTTAAAAAAAAAATTTATACAATATTTGGAACACCTTTACCCTGACCACAAACTTGTACAGTGTTTCAAATTGATGTTTTCTATAATTAAGAAATCTTGTTTCTAATGTTATTTTTGTGGTATGGAATGGCAGAGCGGTGCATTGCAGTGTAAGCTCTTCAATGCTTCCTCTTGGTGTAGACCCCAGTTTTTGCCAACTTGTGAGGTCAGCTGTTGTGTTGATTAGATTATACCACAGATTATTGATAGGAACTACTAACTGGTTTCTGAGTTGGTCAGCTAATAATACTAGTCTGTACTGAACAGAACTCCGTTAATTTTGAAAAACAAGATCTAGTACAAAAGATCTATTATTGAATTCTGACTACTATTCAAAAATTGTTACTTTCACTAATTTATGTCCTTGGCTTTGCCCCTTTTACGTAGGTTGTATATGATGGACTTTTTGGTACAAATACAAATTCAAAGCTAAGAACATTATCCCTGCAGTTTGTACATCATATTTGTATAACGTAAGTTTTTGCACTGTTTTAATTTTCAAGTTTTCAACTACTGGAATTATTAGATGATTCAAGCATATCTTTTTACTCTTCTTACTTAGAAAAAATTCCTGATTGTTTGTGTTAAGATTTTTCATATTTTAGATTATTTCACTTATGTTTAAGTGATCATCTGAAAAATATGTGTAATTTTCAACCTGCTTTGTGTATTTGTGTTTTTTCAAAAGCTGTCCAGAAATCAAGATTAAGCCTTTAGGTCCAATGCTTTTGAATGGCCTCACTAAACTAATCAATGAATATAAAGAAGTAAGTGACTTTTAAATTTTAGCATTTTATATTTTAAAGTATTTTCTGGTCTACTTGTAGATTTAATTAATTAATATTTTTCATTGTTTCTTATTTTCATTTGAAGTTGTGCAAATTTTAAAAATTACTGCCTTTTTTATAGCTTTTCTAAGGAAATATTAAAACTGATACAAGTCTTGACAGGGTCTTACTACTTCTTTAAGTGATATGTTTTAAAGTAAGTGCATTCTATACTATTTCTATGCACTGTGCAAAAGAAAATGAAAGGGATTAATTGAAATTAATTTTAGGTTTACTTCCAAATATTGGAATTGTTTGGATTTGGCTTATATTAGTAAGCAGTGTTAGTTATTAGGAACTAAGAATTTGCTGATTTCAGAATTGTATCAAAACATGCATTCAGTAAATTTTTGATTCCTTAAGCTAAGTGGAATGCGAATTCCTTGTATTGTAGTTTTCCACTACAGTACATCTCTTATTATCTCTAATATTTTAGGAGAATTTGCCAAAAAAAAAAAAGGTAAGGTTTCCAGGACTCTAGTTAGCATTAATTTCTTAAGTTTTAGCTGAATGTGAATGCATGTTTACAGTAGTACAGTCAGATTAAGATTTTGCCATTTGAAGTTAAAATTGAATTTGAATTTCTAGTTTTGCTCTTCGGTTGAGTTACTTAAATCCCATGGACTTCTGTTCTTTGTCAGAAAAATTAGAATACTACATTATTCTGATGATTAAGTGAGTTAGTATGCAGAAATTGTTCAGCACAGTCAATTGATATTAGCAGTTAATATTAGTGAAAAGCTGCTCACTTACACAGCAGTACTAGGCCTGGCTCTCCTACCTTTTATTTTTTTGCCCATTGGATAATGCTTGCCTGGTTTTTAAGGTTTACAGACCCTTAACATTTTATGACTTAGATAATGAGATGCTTTAGAGTAGTTCACAGAAATAAAAATGTTTTGTGGTTTTTGGAGAGAATTGTTGTTTCAAAATAGGTGAAGAGGTTCTATATTAACTGCAAATTCCTAAACCTCCTACTTTTGGGTGACATTTGTATGCCTTTCTAACAAGTCCACAAGAGTTGCTGTTCAGATATGGAAGGAAGAATCCTTGGTTAAATGTGTAATATTCAGGTGGCATATGTGTGTTACTATGTTATGAGTAATCAGATTGGTGATTTCCATAAAACAAAATTTCTACCTGTATCTTCAGGAGGGAGCCTTACTCAATCATCTGATGATACTGGTGGTGGCAGAAGCAAGGGTGAACTTAATTATAGCTCAGATATTTAGAAAATAACCCTACAGCATATTGCAGTTTTGGTGAAGCACAGAGCCTTCTAGAATTTTCTAATAAGCTGTTTTTCTAGTGTATTGAAGATGAACATTGATGTTTGTAAGATTCCCAATGTTGAAAATATCCTGAACTTTCCACTAGCTAAGAGCAACCTTTATATATGACTACTGCATTTTCCTCTTGGAATAAATTGGGGTCGTAAGGTTTTGTTTTGTTTTTCCTGTTAGTAGTGTGATTGATTCTGTACATGTGCTGCTGAAGTGAGCACGTGTGACTGATTCTGGGTTTGGACGTACTTCTGGTTCGGATGCCATTATCTTGTATATAGGCTGAGTTAGATCTAGCTTTTTACAAGGAATAAAATAATGCATGTAATTACAGCGAAAGGTTTTGCTGTTTACTGTGTCTTTTTGTTTTGTCTGTTTTTTGGTTCTTTTTTTCTTTTCCTTTCTTTTTCTTTCCCTGCTTTTATTTTATTGTTTCAAGGACCCTAAACTACTGTCAATGGCATATTCAGCTGTTGGAAAACTCTCCAGGTGAGTAAACTCTCTCTTAGTGAGGGATATCCTGTTGGTAAACAGAAAAATTATGTAGAATATAATAATGGATGGAGAGTAAATTTCTTGTGATTCTGAAAGGAAATCTATTTAATGGCCATATGTTTAAAAATTCCTTTGTAGAAGAAAAGGTGGTGTGCCATTTTAATTTACATTTGAAGGTATGTTACCATATTAAATACAGTATTGAAAGACTTTAAATTGAATTTTCTTCATAATGGGTTACTTTTTTTTTTTTTACCCTAGACACGTGGCTGACTTTAAGTTTTTATGACTACTTGCTATCAAACTTTGTAATCCCAGGGTTCAAGTTTCTTTTTACTCTTGGACAGCATTTGCTACAGTTGAGTGGTTCTGTTTTCAGAAGAGCGTTTGTTTTCTTTTGCTCAGAATTTACTCATTCTAGTCATCTTCCTTTTAAAGCACAGAGAGGTAAAGTGTCCTCAGCAGCGTGTTGTGCTGCTTTGCCCTCAAACACAGGTTGGTCTCTGTAGTCTCTGTAGTCTAGATCAATGCTCTTCTCTCCTGTGCAAAGCTAAAGGCTTTGGGGTTCAGAAGAATGAAATCTCAGATCCACTTACACACAATACAGGCTTATCAGTAAACTGTATCCCTTATGTGTTGCTGTGAAGTAGGAAAGCTGCTTGCTATAATAGCTTTTAAATTTTAGTCTTCTCTTCTAGCTTTTCTTCATGCTAAAATCAGAAGTATTAACTGAATGCATGGAATATTAGAGAGGGATATGTATCTATAAAAAAATTCAAAGGGTTATCTGAATTAAATACAGTATGTCCCCAATGTATGAGTTCCGTTCTGGGAGAATGTGCATAAGTCAGATTTGTTTGTACTATAACACGGTGAGTTTTACACGGTATACTTGCGACTCTTATATACATTACGCCGGTAAAAGTCTGCAGTGTGAATGTTCATCAGTTGGGGACTTACTGTAGTTGAAGAATTAAATACTTTTTAAAAATGTCAAGCTCTTGAGTGAAGTAATCTAATGATGAACATTCTCAGAGAATAAAAACATGAAAATGTTTATGGTTTCATTGTTTCCCTTTTTTATCTCCTGAACATTTGTGGTAGTAATTATATTCCTCTATTGTCTTACAGTCGAATGCCCCATCTATTCACTAAAGATATAGCTCTTGTACAGCAGCTTTTTGAAGCTCTATGTAAGGTAGGGAAATAGGTGGTACGTTTATGCTTTCTGCTTGGATACACATTTGGAAATCGGCAGGGGAGGAAACACTATTTTTATCCTTACAGGAAGAACCTGAGACTCGACTTGCTATTCAGGAAGCATTGTCTATGATGGTTGGAGCTTACAGTACTTTAGAAGGAGCACAGCGAACACTGATGGAGGCACTTGTGGCTTCATATTTAATAAAGGTAGATACAACTCTGTGAGTGACAGTGGCAGATAGTGTACACAGTTTTATGTTAAAAAATAGTTGTGTTTCAGTTGACACAAAACTGTATGTATTTCTAGGGAATCCTGGTGTTTTAATACATTTGTACCTTTATGATACTCAGATCTGGTAAGAATATTCTTAAACATGTATCATTTCTTCATGAGAAATTAAAAATTCTCCTTTTCTGAAATATACAGTATGGTATATTATTATTATTATCTGTCATCACTCTACTATGTAATAGATCATATTATATTTAGTTGTAACTTGGTACCTGTAGGCCAACCTTTCCCCTTACTGCCCCATTCCCTGCTTTACTTATACGCCGATTACCACGTTTTAATTCCAGGAGGTCTGCTCTTTTAGATTCTACACATGAATGAGGGCACGTAGTACTTGTCTCTCGGTGCCTGTTTCTCTTAACGTGATGTCTTCTAGTTTGGTTCGTGTTGCCTCATATGACATGATCATGTTTTAGCAGTGCTTGTATACATACACTAAACAAGTGCACAGCTACTGAGTTACCCCTTTTTGCCCCACATTTTACATTTTACAGAACAAGACTGAATTACTTTTCTTCTCGTTTTTGTTTTTATTTTGTCTTTTTCTTTTTTATCGGTACCAGGGATCGAACTCACGATTTTCTGCTTGCAAGGCAGGCGCTTATGCCACTGAGCTAAATCCTCAGCCTACTTTTTTTCTTAATTACTTTGAAAATAAAAAGGAAATACGTGCTGGCATATGATTTACTTTTGATTCCGCATGTGGAAATTTGATTTTAAGGGAGAAAAGCAGTATAATGCCCAGTAGTTATGTTTACACCCGTGTGGGAAAAGCTACTTCCATTGCCATATTTTCTGAGTCTCTTTTTAACTGGCAGTTGAACTCTGTAATTCTTTGGAATGGAATTCTGTAAGAAACATTATCAGAAAAGGTAGAAAGAAAGACAGATTACATAAGGGGCCTAGTGGCACACATTTGGGAGGCTGAGGCAGGATCACAGATTCAAGGCCAATTTGGGCAATTTGGTGAGACCTGGTCCTATAAGCAGTGTGTGTGGGGAGAGGGGATATAGCTTAGTGCAAGGTCTTGTGTCCAGTCCCTACTACCCCCCACCTATGTACAGAATGAATCTGTAGGAAGTAAGCCAGTACCACTGCACATGCTTGCTCTTCAGGTCCTTTTTATTTGGCTGACACTGAACTCTGTGGAAGAATGTGGAATAGCTTACATGCTCTCTCCATATGTGCAAACATATATGATGTGTAATAATATGAAATTATGCATATTTGCTTTGTATATTTGCCCTTCACTTTTAAGAGTAAAAAGGGAAAATTGAAAATTTATGAGGGAGTTCTTAAATATTAAGAACTTGATTTTTTGAAATATGACAAGGTTAAATTGTACCATTGCGTGTATTTAGAAAACTTGTTATGTGGATACCCATTGTCAGATGTTCCTGGTGTCCAGTTTACATGGCTTTAGTCAAAGCTATTTTTGTTTTCTTTTCACAGACTACATTTTAAAGCAGTCAAATTGCAGGATAAATCTATTTATTGATTTATTTATTTGGTTGGTTGGTTGATTTTTTGAGAAAGGGTCTGTCTTTGTAGTTCAGCTGGCCTTGAACACACTACTTAGCTCAGCCTGACCTCAAACTTGTGTGATCCTGCCTCAGTCTCCTGACTGCTGGAATTATAGGCATGTGCCATCACTCCTTGCTCTAAATCATGTAATTTACACAAATTTTTAATATCATTGCTCTGTAAAGTGACTGAAGCAATGCTAAACAGCAAGAAAATCAGAATGAATAGGACAATATACATTTCTTAGAGAACTGTTTTTTGGTACCAGGAATCAAACTCAGGACCTCATCCTTGCCAGGCAGGTGCTTTGCCACTGAGCTATATCCTTGGCCCTTACATTTCTTCATAGATCTCTATTTCACTTACGTTTGTGGCTGATGGAATGACCTGGAAAGAAAATACCCAACAATAAACCTTCAGGATCAGTAGATTCTAAAATTTGTTTTCTGATTGAACTTTATAAATTAGTACTCAGTTAATTGAATATATTTATGTAGTTGAGTTCTTTGTTCTATAGCTAGTGTTAACTTTAGAGCTAATATGAGAAGGTATGTCAGATTTTTAAGGATTCCAAATACAGTAATTTCGGATTCTGTCCGTTTCAAAATATCTGAATTTTACTTTTAACTTGAGAGTTGGAAAGGCAGGGATAGTGGCCAGAAGCTGTCATCGTGACCTGGTCCCAAGGTTTAGGCTGGAGATGTGCATGTACAAGGATTCTTTAATCCTGGTCTTTGTGGATCTTTCCTGAATTACTTGGAAGATCCTTTTGGCTCCTTTTGTAATACTTACTCTATGAAATGCCACTGTCCCAAAGACTTTAAAACAACATAATTAAAGATGTGATTAGGACTCAGTGGTAGAACACATACTTAGGATGCATGAAGCCCTGGTTTGAATCCCTAGACCACAAATGATCAAAACAAAGATACTAATCAAAATACTTTATTGATTTATGCATATGTTCATTACACTGTCAACTTAAATTTTGCTTTGTTTACTATTAGAGTAATTTAACTGGAATGAGTTTCTGATAATTAAATTTTGTTTTTTCTTTTTGGTGGGTGGTGGGTATCTCTGTGTTTTTATGTGTCCAATAGCCTGAAGTTCAAGTTCGGCAGGTGGCTGTGAAATTTGCCAGCACAGTGTTTCCCTCAGATCACATACCTTCCAGATACTTGCTCCTACTTGCTGCAGGAGATCCGTAAGTTTCCAAAGGTGTTAATTTGAATTTGAGTTCATTTTGGATCTGAGAATTACATAATTCAATAGATTGAGTTACATGTGTATAATATATTTTTATACTGATAATATATATAGGTTACATGTGTATGTGTAATATGTGATACGTAGATAGTCTGGAAATATGTTTAAGAATTGGTGAAGTGTAAATAAAGCAAATTAGGTAATTGTGTATGCAGTATACTTACAGCTCTAATGGTTTGATGAGATTGATTTTATTTAATATACTAAGATTTTAAATGAAATAGGTATTGGATTTTGTATTGAATTAGATTACTTCATTTTTAGAGGGCAGTTTTTAATCACTTAAATGTTTCTAAAATTCAGGTCTTTGAAAAGTTATATATACATTTAGTGAGGTATAAGTGTACATGTTAAAAGAACTCTTCCTAAATGTACTATTATGTATTGTCTTACTAAATCTGTTATATATCATCTAGTTAGTGACATCTTACAATCCATGAAGCATTTCAATATGTTCCGTAATATTAAACTATTATTACATTTAATATTTAGAATTTTTGCGTTTTAAAAATGAGATTCTTGTGTTTTAAAGTCTCATTTGTGCTGATGAATGGTTTGAGTAAAATTACGTATTCATGGATCATTTAAATATCCTTTTTGATAAACTTCTGTGGTCCATTTTTAAAAGAAGAAAGGATTCCTTGATAAATATTTCATTATTCTAGTCAGCCCAACTGTAATGCCCTTGTTACCATTTTCATCCTGTAAATTGAATATGTTTCGCTATGATTTTTTTATTAAATATTTTAGCTTAATATCATTGGCATTGATAGGTCCCGACTTTTGATTTTTGATCTTGGCTGATGCTTCATATTCATTTCCACTTAGATTTGGTTATTTTGGTTTTGGATTAGCAGTCTTGATTCTTGTGGCCTACTGTTCTCACTGGTCTGCCTTAGGTTTTCCAAACCCCAGGCCAGAAGGTGCCAGGACCTGGGAACCAAGCTAGTAGTTCTGTTAGATCGAGAATATGACCAGAGAGGTAAGCAGAGCTGTTAACCACTCTGCTTTATCTCAGAGTGCTGCAAGTTATTATTTTTTTTCAAATTATTTTTATTTACAGAACTAAAACCAACCAGATTCAACAGTTTTCCTTTAGTTAAAATTTTTCTGGTTTATGAAAATTCTCTGATAATTTGAGTTTTTATTTATTAATTCTTTTCAGCTTCTTATAAGGTGTTGCTAGGGAAACTTGATCCAATTAAGAGGTAATTATAGATTTGAAAGGACTTTGTGTGATATCTGAATAACACTATTACTCAGGCCATTCTCTAGATGGCTTTAAATTAGGTTTTGCATTTTTAATTTTTGTTTTTTTGGTACCAGGCATCAAACTCAGTGCCTTGTACTTACCAGGTGGGTGCTTGTGCCTTTGAACTATATTCTCGGCCCTGGTTTTACATTTTTTAATATATTGATGTTACTTCTCATCAGTTGCCAGTTGTACAGAATTGTTGCTGAATTCCACTTAGGTGTCAGTTCGGATGGAGTGTACAGTCATTTGAATTTTAAAGTGTATTGTACTTATTTATGATTTGCTTCTGATAAAGTAAAGCGTATACATAGTTATTTGTGTAATACATTTCAGTATTCTGTACTATTTTTAATATGTGAGTAAAAATCAAATATGCAAATCAAATGGCTCTCTTGAATCTGATGATATTTCCGAAAGAAAGTAGTTTCTTTTATATTTTACTCACTCTTTGCTTAGTCCAGAATATATTTAAGATATTGTCTCAGAACTACCAAATAAAATTCCCATTTTTATTCTTCAAATGATAATTCTCCAGTTGGTGAAGTTCATTTTTTATTCTTACTTGTCTTTCTGAAAGTCGAGAAGAAGTTCATGGAGAAGCACAACGAGTGTTGAGGTGTCTTCCTGGTAAAAACAAAAATGAAGGTGCTGCTAAGCAGATGCCTTCTTTCCCAGAAATGGTATATTATATACAAGAAAAGGTAGGTATGGCATTTTTAACTTCACATCATTAGTTTAAAGTGGACAATAGACTATAAAAAATATAACTGTATATTTTAAAATAAGAGATGTAATCACCAGTTGTCTTTCAAAATGTTTTTTTTATTTTAAAGAGATTAAAACAAAACAGAACAAAGCAAATCAGAACAAAACAATGCAAGCAACACAGGATTTCAAAACAACAGCAGGAAATCAACAGTGGCTACCATAATGTTTCTTGTTTTCTTTGAAATAGTTGTCCATATCTTCACATACAGTGATTTGAAACAAGACAAAATAGTGTAAAATGGATTGAAACAAAAGAGTGAAAGCATTATAGGTCTTCAAAACCAGACAATAGCAAAATTAACAATGGCTACCCTAATGTCTCTTGTTCTTCAAAATAGGTGTCCATACCTTCACACATATTGTAATTAAATAATAAAAATAGACTAAAACCAATCAAATCAAAGAATAAAAGCATTACTGTACTTTACAACAAGATGATAGGACATCAGCAATGACTACCATAATATCTCATTTTCTTCAGTGTAGCTGTTGGTAATATGTGTAGCATTTTACCATCACATGTAATAAGATCAATTCTAATAAAGTCTTTATAGGAGAAGTTCTAGGCATGTATAACCGTATACATGTTCATCTATCTTTTCTGTATTAGAGGGAAAACAAAACAAAACAAATTATGAGACAAAGAAATACCAATAACAAAAAGCCCCAAATAGTGACAATATAGGTTTTCAAAACAAGGTAGGAACATACATAACTAAGGTTGTTATTTTACATAATTATCTTTAAAAGAGTTACTCAGATTGCCAGATATAAATATGCAAAATTGATATAATCCTGTGACTGTTAACTGTTTTGTTCAAAGAACTAATAGAATTAGTTGCACAATCATCTTAGCTATCTTCAGAGTGTATATGCATATTTATATCTTTTTTCTTTTCCTTTCCTTCTCTTCTCCTTTTCCCTGAGTTATTTTTTCTCTTTTGAGCAGTTTCTTACCCTTTCACCATGTAATCACTGATTGTTGAACAGCAGCAATGTCTCTAGCAATGTTAATGTTTACATTAAGAGAGAGATACAAAGTGAGGAGGCATATGTAATTGTTAAATGTAGTTGGTCTGTTTCGCCTAAATCTGAAGTAATTCATCCCATGCTCATGAATGTTTTGGCTGTACAGTATTTAAAATTGTTTTCTCATGGCACAGCATGCTTAAAAATGCACCTTACTTTCTGCTTTTATTTTACTTTTAATTTTTTTGCTGTGTAGAGATTTGAATTCAGAACCCTGTACAAGTGCTGTACCTTACACTATACCTCCATCCTTTTCCTTTTTTTAAAAGGGCACTATTTTAGCTACATGCGCAAGGCTTTTTTTTGTTGTTACTGTTGTTTATTTTGGGCCAGGGTCTTACTAAGTTACCAAGGCTGGCCTTAGAATTTGTCATCCTTCTGCCTCCACCTCTTAGAGTGTTGGGATTACAGGCACGTAACCACCATGCCTGTTTCTCTGTTTTATTTTTAAGGGCACTATTGAATTGTACATTTAAGAATGCTTCAAGGTGCAATCAAGGTTTTTCCAGCAGATTTCATCTACTGTAGCGCAATGTTTTCTGTTTGTAAATCAGAATACAGTATTGGTGTGATGATACCCCATCCTGATAGTCCCCTTTTTTATATAAGTGATTATTTTAGTATATTTGAGGATACTTTGCTGCCTTTTACTTCTTCTGATGATTGTGGGTAGCTTTTTGCTTGGTTCATATCTTAAGGGAGTTGTAGGTCAGTATGCAGTAGCTGTGATTCTGTTTTTTCATAGCACAGTCATATTTTTATTCTGAAGATGTCTTGTGTTCATGTTTTTCTGAAATCACTGTACTAATAATCGGCAGTTGTGGCCTGAGGTGGTCATGTCAGTTAGATACCTGAGGTAGACGTATTATTTTAAAAATATAAGCCAGTAATGAACATGTGGGTAAAAGCCAGTATATCCTACCATTTATAATATAAGGAACACATACAGTCAGCAAGATTAATAGGAAAATGTTTGATTAGGAAAAGATGAATGTGAACTTTGGAAAATTAACATAGCTAGAAATGTGGTTATTTTGAGTTCAAGAAAGACATATATATATACACACACACACACTTCATTTTTTGGTAACTGCATTTTATTTTGGGTTTATTTTTCTTAGGCTTCCCATCGAATGAAAACTCCAGTCAAATACATGACTGGGACCACTGTCCTTCCATTTAACCCAGCAGCATTTGGAGAGGTAGGGATTGCATATATTTATATTTGCTTTCTTTAAAATTTCTAAAAGATAACATATAAAAAGATGTCTGTGATCTTTTGTTTTACAAACCCATATCATGGTGTCATTGTTTTTTTCTGGGGTATTTATTTAAAAAATATTTGTTTTGTAGTAGGTATTATTTTAATAATAATCTTAGTGTCCCTCCCTCCCTTCCTTCTAGAACGTGACTCATGGTGGGAAACTGCAGTACCATTGAGCCACATCCCCAGCCCTCTAAGAACCAGATACTTTGCATTTGTTACTTACTTTGAACTTTTTGTAGCAAGTTAGAGTTGAACTTTCAAGCTGACATGTTGTTGAGGTCAGAGAGGATTAATTCATCACATTTATTAAAGGAAATTTTATGTTTCAGATTGTCGATTTGTACAAATTGTAGGAGGTAATATTGTCCAGAGTTGAGTAAGAATAGGGTTGGAGAGTGTCTAGCTCAGTAGGAGATATGTATAAAGCCCTGGGTTTACTCCCTACCCACAAAGTGAACAAGTTGAATTTGCATTTCCTCTTTGAAATTCCTTTTAAAAAACAGCTTAGATTTGCAAAAGTTACATAAATTTTGCTCCATAATGGTAACTTAGTGAACATACTGAGTCTTTTTTTTTTGGTTTCCATGAAGAGTGGGAAAGCTTTATGAAACAAGATAGTGGAATTAGAAATGCAAATTATCTCTTTGAATAATAGCCTCCTTCATTGATTGTTTTAAGAAATTTATGTGGTATTCGTCCATTTTCTGCTTTTAGATAGTTCTGTACTTGCGCATGTGCCTGGCTCATAGTGCTGGGGTGGTGCCCACCTCTCAGAGTTTGGCTGATATGCAGGATCACGCACCAGCCATTGGGCGCTACATACGGACCTTGATGTCAAGCAGCCAGGCAGCAGCCTCATCATCTTCTAATAAAAGTGGAGAAACCAATCCTGTTCAGATTTATGTCGGCCTGCTTCAGCAGTTGTTAGCAGGTGTTGGAGGTAAGAAGTTGTGACGCTGAGGAAAGATTTTAAATCACTTGAGCACAAGTTTAGTTTAAAATTAAATTAAACTTTAAATTTTAGAGTAAAATTTTCACTGTTGTAGACTGATCTTTTCCCTTCTGTAACCAATCACTAGTCCTTCTTTTTCTTTTTCTTTTTTTTTCCTGAACTTACTTGATTTATTTTTGATACAATATTTCGCTTTTCAGAAAGAAATGCTGACAGTAGATACACATTTTTTATGTTGGAAGTAAATGTGAAGAATAGGATGTCTCTTTTAATAGCTAATCTGTAAATTTGCTGTATTGAAACCCATACTGTGTGGGCTGGGATGTGACTTGGTGGTAGAGCTCTTGCCTTGCATGTACAAGGTCTTTGGTTCAATCTCTAGCACCATACATAAACACATAGTGTATTGAGAGTGTGTAATTTTTTTTTTTTAAGAATTGGAGTTTGTGCTAAAGAAGTCTTTCATTTTAGTGGAATTTGGTGGTCTTTGTATATTTTTCTTTTTTTGAAATTTAAAATTTTTCTGAATTCTCATTTAGGCTTGCCTGTCATGTACTGCCTTTTGGAAGCTGTGTCAGTATATCCAGAAAAGTTGGCTACCAAGTTTGTAGATAAAACAGAATGGATTAAGGTATGTCTTATGCTTCTGTATTCCTTTTTGAACACTGATATTTCAAAATTTAACTTAATGATTTCCTTTACCAGAGTTACTATAACCTTTTTTGGCTTTAGGTCATTTTGAATATTTTCATCAAACACTGGAAAACATGTAGGTCGGAATATCTCATTGCCCCATATGGGTAAGAGTGTGAGATGAATTTTTGTGTTTTAAAAATTTAAAAAATAGGAAATTAGTATAGTTTAAATAAAGAACATTTAAAATTTCTTTTTATAAATGTCTCCCACCTACGCAAATACCCACAACTTCCTAAGTTTTCCTGTTTTTCTTCTACCACATGAACATAGGCATCACTGATTCTTACTTATTTTTTTTTGGCACTAGAAATCAAACTCAGGGCCTTGCGCTTATCAGGCAGGTGCCATGCCACAGAGCTGTTTCTCTGGCCCTTATGACTAATTTTTATGTGGCATATTTTTTGGAATTTACCTATGCATATGCACATGAAATAATTTTTCATTTTTCTGTCTTCTGTTACATAAAAAGAAGCATACTGTTCACATGCATTTAAATTTCTTTCATTTAACAGTGAAACTTGGAGCTATTCTTCTGTAACCATGGGCAGAGCTCCACTTTAACCCGTTCATTATTTTCCATTGTGTGATTTATTCTAGTTCCTTATTGATGATCATCTGGGTCAACTGTAATGGAAAATACTATTTTGTATACTAGGAAATACATTCTTTAGATGGATTCCTCAGAGGTGATATGCTGAGTTAGAGGATGTGTATCAAAAGTACAAAACAGGGGCTGGGGATTTAGCTTAGCGGCATAAGCACCTGCCTTGCAAGCAGGCAGTTGTGAGTTCGATCCCTGGTACCAATTAAAAAAAAAAATCAAGAATACAAAAACACATGCCACATTCTCCATACTTCTTACATTAGTATGTAGTACAGTTCTTTTTTGGAAAGTGTAGCTTGAGTTGTGGTAAAATCTATAGACTATATCTCTTAAGGGTAAAAATGTGAATGATATGTATAGTACTTTCCTGACAATTTGATCCATAAAATTGCTTCTAGTTTTAAAAGGCTTTTTTCCTTTATGATTATTTTTTGGTTTTAAAATGCTCCTTAAGTTTTTGAGTCTTGCTTTTTGGGTTTTCATACTGTGGTCCACAGGCTAAATATGGTTGGATGTCTTTTTTTTTTTTTTTTTAATAGTCTACAAACTAAGAATGGTTAGCCAAGTCAAAAGCAGTAACATTTCATGACATGTAAAAACTGTGGTGTCTGTAATGTTATATTGGAATTCAGGTATATCTTTCTTTTTTTTTCTTTTTGAGAAAGCACCTTGCTACCTAGTTCAGGCTGGCCTCAAACTCACTATGTAGTTCAGGCTGGCCTTGAACTCTTGGCCATTGTCTTAGTTACTTTTCTCTTGTAGTTGAGACAAAATACTCCCTGCTCAAAATTAAGGAAGGAAAAGTTTATTTCGCTCATAGTTTATGGAGGTGTCAGTCCATAATCAGCTGGCTCCAAGGCAGGGTGGCATGACAGGGGCAACACTTCAAGGCAGCAGAAGGCAGCAAAAGCAACGAGCAAAATGTGAGAACAAGCTTCTTTTCTGCTCTTACATTGTGTGCAGGCCACCTGGCCTTGAATGGGTGCAGCACTCACACCGTCTCCACAGGCTCAGGATGTTTACAGAGTGATCCTGGCCCCCTGCTGAATCACTTAGTTAACTTATAAACTTCTCAAGTTGACACATGAACAACATCCTGGAGTGGTAAGGCCTCTACCCACTAGGATGTACAACTGCTGAGTTACTTAAAGTTACTAGACTTCTCAAATTGACAGTGTGTCACCATTGCAGTCATCCTCCTGCTTCAGCCTACCAAGTGCTAGGATCACAGGTGTGCACCACCACATCCTGCTCTGTTTGTTTATGTGTGCTTCTGTGGCTCCTTTTGTACCACAGTAGCAGAATGGAGCAGTTGCAACAGTTAACAGAGAGCCTGTTTCATCCTTTATAGGAAAAGTTTGCTAACTTGTCTTTTAGGTCATGTCTTTGTACTTTTGTTTTGTACTTTTGTATCTTGGATGAAAATGCATGTCAGAATGTGGTTTTATGTATTCAGCTTCTGTTTTGGAATGATAGTTTATTGTGTTCTTTTCTCATGGATATCAATAGTTTAAATATTAAAATATATCATTTTAATTTTAAATGTTGGATGTTGTTAGCAGAAGGATAGTTATATATCATGTATATATTCCTTTTCTTTTGTACTGCTCAGAGTTTGATGAATAGCAGTAAAGAAGAAATGCGTGAATTGGCAGCGTTGTTTTATTCTGTGGTCGTGTCAACAGTTTCGGGAAATGAGTTGAAGTCAATGATAGAACAACTTATAAAGACTACAAAAGACAATCATGTATGTTAACAGTTTTGTCATTATTTTTTATGGAAGATAAGGTTTTATAAAAGTGAGCAATTTTTTTCTTTTGATTTAAGGAGAAAAAAAAAACAAAAAGGGTACAAGTTATACAGAATTTCAGAAAAAATAAACAGTAGGAAATCACTAGTTAATAGATTACATATTGTTATCTTAGAAATAGTTGTTCAAGTTACAAAATTAAAGCATATAAAATGCACTTTCAAACAAATATAAAGTGGACATAGTTTTGTTCAATGATCCAACAAAACTCAGTAATATGGTTATCTATCTTATATACTTAAATATATATGCAGTTATATTCTTTAGAGCACTTTCTTTTCCTTTCTTTTGTACAATGACAATTACACATTTTGGGTTTTATTACTCCCACAGTTCTTATTACTTTCTTTTGAAGAGAGTAAAACCAAATGTGACATAACAGAACAGAGTCAGTCAAATCAAAAGGTTGGACATAATAGATAATATAAAAGCAAAATATTAGGTGATCAACAATGGTTACCATACTGCCTCTTGCTATCTGAAAAAGAATTGCCTATATCATCAGTTATAAATAAAATTGAACAAAACAGTAAAGAATAAAACCAAAACATTGGAGACATTACAGGACTTTAAAAGAAGATAATAGTCAAACGGAATGGGTGTCAAAATGAATCTTACTGTCTTCACAGAAAGTGAGCTATTTTTAAAGTTCCCATCTATAAACTGAGAAATTCTTTGCTTTTGTGATTATAAAGATTAAGAAATAGATTTCAGTTAGTTCATTTCATAGATTTGAGGGTTGTGTCTGAAAAGGTCTGTTATAGGTGCTATGAATACAGTGCTGGGTAAATCCAGGAGAATCCCTCGAGCCACCTGATGCTTGGAAATGGTAGCTCCTTTTCTTCCCCATACCTACTGCTGCCTTTCACTGCTTATCAAAAAACAAATTGTGCTGTATTGGCTTCCTTGTGTTTGAAAGTTTTATCAATTAGAAGTAGGGTCTACTCATTGTATTTTGCTGGTAGTAGGGAGAAATGATTAGTGTACTAATGCTTCTCTTTGCAAACAGTTTAGTTTGCAAACAACATTTAGCAAAAGTTTGCTTCCATTTGCAAATTTTGCATTGGGTGACCAATATAACCACGGCCACCTTCCCCACACAGATACAAATGTAGCTATCTTCCCCAAAATCATAAAGCAGATCAAGTCTGTAAACCCAGGTGCCACTGTATGTTTGAATATTTTGATCTTGTAGTATTGTGTAAATTAGAAGAAAGCATAAGTACTGTGGGAGCATGTGAGTGAGATTAGGGTATCTGAATCTTGAAGTGAATCAAGACAACCTTACTTTTCAGGATTGTTTGTTGTAGAACTCAAGTTTTCTTGTGTTCTTTAAGTTTGGATCATTGATATGTGGTGAAATCTGGAGTGATCATTTTATATATATATTTATTTTTGATCACCGCATTTTTGGTGTTTTTATCAGATATCACTATAAAAACACAGTTATTTCAGTATGTTCTGTTGAGTATGAGAAAGACACAGACATTTGCTATTATGTTATTAAATTCAGAGCCCTGAGATACAGCATGGATCCTTACTTGCATTGGGATTCACAATTGGAAGATACTTGGCTAAAAAGAAAATGAGAGTGGCAGAGCAGCAAGACCTGGAGACAAATTCTGATTTCCTGCCTGACCAAGAGGAACTTATTCAGAGCGCCACAGAAACAATAGGTTATTAATGTTTATGCTGACTTGGCTGTTGTAATTTTTGATTATATTAAATTTTAGTATCTTGTTATAGTAGTATCCCAAATTTATTTAATGTTAAGTAAATTCTATGTTTTTAGTAACAATGAAAAAAAACCTTCTGTGCTTTTCTTCTGTGTGTTTCCATATGACAGGAGAGTGATTCTGTTAGGGGAAAAAATTGAAACTTTCAAAAAAAGCACACTACAGGTGGGCGTGGTTGCACATGCCTGTAATCTCACCAAAGGCTGAGGCAGGAGGGCAGGAGGATTGCTGTGAGTTTAAGGCCAGTCTGGGCTACCTAATGAGTTCAAGGCCAGCCTGAACTACATAACAAGACTCTATTTCAAAAAATCAGAACCAAAACTGAACCAAAGAAACCCCAAAAGAGTACTATGGTCTGTCAGCAATGGTATCTTATTATTGAATAGATGTCCACAAGTAGCCAACCATTATAGACTTTGATTTTATTTTGTTGTGTTTAAAAAGTCTTTACTACATTGCTGATTACTCTGGATCACAAAGATAAATACTTTATTATTCTCTGTTTTGTCTAAATGTGCTTACAGGCTCGTTTTTGGACAGTACCTCACCCCTCTTGACAGTTGCTGCCTGTACGGCTTTGGGTGAAATTGGCAGAAATGGTCCACTCCCAATTCCTAGTGAGGGAGCTGGTTTCACCAAATTACATCTTGTAGAAAGCTTACTAAACAGAATTCCTTCCAGTAAAGAAACAAATAAGGCAAGTCTTTTTTTTTCTCTTTTCCTTCCTTTCTGGAATTTTGTCTTTTTGTAAATGAACAAAACCAAAGTGTAATGAAGGTAGATGCCACTGCAATTGGAGAATTTACTAATATAAAAACGAATGATAAAGAAGAAAGATGAGGTATTTTCTTTTTAGTTAGGAATAATTTGTATACAACTGTAGTATGTGTGTCTTTTGACCCAATTATTCACAATAGGCCCTTAACTGTTACGATTTAAGTATTAAATTTGTCAGAAAATCTTTTGTAATGCAAAAGATAGATAATAAAATGCTTACTAGTTTTGTGATTTTTAGAGCAAATCTAAATATTAACTTCCTGTAGTCAGTTTGGTTTTAAGAAGTTGGCATTAGTAAATGGTGTGAATAATCTGAGAAAAAGAACACTGATAGTTTTTCACTGATAGTTTTTAGAGAAGTATTTTCATAGACTTCAGAACAGTTTTTGTAATTAAAGCATCTGTGTTGAACAATAGATAATTTAATAGGCAGAAGAATCTATGTACTATAAACTGAATAAACACAATGATTTTTTTTCAGTCTAGCTTCTGTTGAAAAATTTCCGAGACCATCACACAGTTTACTTTTTATAAATTATTATTAACTAGTCATTACCAACCATTGTTGACAACTATAATGTGCTAGGATCTATCCTAAGTGTTTTCTGTGCTTTGAAATAAAATCTTTCAGAAAGTGAGTGAAGTATGCATTGTTGTCATCTTTGTATGAGATCATGAGGAATAGCCATAGAGAGATGAAGTCATTTGCCTGTAAAGGCTACTAAAATGATGGAGAGGTGATTTGGTCCTAGGATTTGTGGACCTAGAACCCACATTTTAAATGGAACTTAAAGGATAATAAGCTTAAACCTATCTTTCTCCTTTGGTTGCAGCTATGAATCCTTAATGGACTTTGTTTATGTCTTTCTGCTTTCAGTATCTTACAGTCATAATTCTATAGAATCGGATGATTTTGGTAAAGATTTAGGTATTAGTTTGACAAATTGCCCTCCCTGTCATTTCCTTTTGGAAGTGCTGCTCTGGTATAAAGCTGTAATGAACTTTGCTTTAAAAAAAAAAAAAATGTATTCTTACAGATGAAAGAACGAGCCATCCAAACACTGGGCTACTTTCCAGTTGGGGATGGGGATTTTCCTCACCAGAAACTCCTCTTGCAAGGTCTGATGGATTCTGTCGAGGTATTTATATTGCAACCTGATTGTTAGTTCATTCAAAAGGCATTTGTAATTGTAATTTTACAAGCAGTGAGATTTTAAATTAGACCTTTATTCATTTATTTAACACATACTTAGTTTTCAATGGTTAGCTTTGAATTAGAAATTTCTTCATAATTTTTCAGTAAAGAGCAAAGAGGAAATCTGCTCAGCCAACCAGCAGTGAGGAATGGACCTGTATCAGATTCTCTCCTGATATCACTGGCATAACCACTTGGATAGAAGCTTTTCCTTTGTAAAATCTTTTCTAATTTTGCTGAAATAAATGAAAGCTTATATGGCTTCTTAACTTGCTTCTGATGCCATTATTTTAAGAGTTTAGAAATACAGAAATACATAAAAAATATAGAAACATGGAAATAATGTGGAGAGATCAAGTACAAGAATGAATGTAAAATAAAAAAAACAGTTTCTTCCCCATTCACAGTATCTGTTGTACATTTTGGATCTTCACATTCTCACACCGGTTTCTCTTGTTCGTTGAAGGAAAGATTTTATGCTAGTAATTTTCTAGACAGTGTTTCTTGTTCTTGTTCCCTGAACAACTACTGTGAATATAACAATGCTCAATGTGTTGATTATTGTTACTCTCCTGCTAGCCTGTTTTGAAATTGTTTTACTGTTATTTGTTACCTTTTTATGTTTAAAATAATGTAAAAGCATGAATCAGGGAAGCAGAGTATCTTTACAGTCAATCAGAAGAAAGTTCTAAAGTTCTAACTTTTATTAAATATATATAAATAGAGTGATAATATAGGAACCCCTGTGTGCCTGGTTTACTTTCTCTTTATTTCTGGAATAGAGTAAACCCGGGATATCATAATCATCATTCATAATGGTAGTAGGGGTTTTGATTTTGTTTTTAATGCCAGCTATATTATTCAGAGTAGGTACAGAATTATAAAGATCCTGAGTTGAAATGTCTTTTCTCAGGTTTAAAGTGCTAATAGAAGCTTGTGGCCAGGGAGCCTATAGGGCTTAAGCCCTTCAACTTTTCCTTTGGAGTAGGAAACATATGGTGTTAACTTGACACTTCATCAATACTGGAGCATGTAGTTAGTTGAGTGTGGGAAATGGTGTCTGTGTGCTTTGTGGAGTCACTGTGCTCATGTCCCTTGTATACTGTCTTTTTTTTTTTTTTTTTTTTTTTTTCTTTTTTGGTACCAGGAATTGAACTTAGGACTTTGTGCTTGCTAAGCAGGTGCTGTGCCACTGAGCTACATCCCTGGCCCATGCTGTTTATATTTTTCTCTTCTTATTGTGTCTATTCTTAGATTTCTTTCAATTCACAGTAAATATAGAAAAACGTCAAAGAGAACTAAGGCAGATCCATTCTAGTTTGGGCTAGTGATTCATACTGGTAAAACATGTTAGAATTTCTAGATCAGTTTTTAAACAAACTGTACTACATAGAATTTTTTTTTTCAGTACCAAGAATCAAACTCATGACCTCATGCTTGCCAGGTAGATGCTGTGCCTATGAGCTATATCCCTAGCCCTTATGTAGAATTTTTTATGTTTGACTTTTAAAACATTTTGTTACCAGAAATCAAACTCAGAACGTTACACTTGGCAGGCAGGTGCTATGCCATTGAGCTATATCCCTGGCCAGCAATTTCAGACTTACAGTGAAGTAATGAGTAGTGTGAAGAATTTTGACATACTCTTCATCCAGATTTGCTGAGTTTTAATATTTTACATTTGCTGTATCATTCTCTTTTTTTTCTGAACCATTTTGACAGTAGCTTGTAGATACCATCTAGTTTCAGATGAAAAGCTAATAAATTGAGTTTAAATATTAATAAATTTTAATGGTTACTATTATGCAGTATGATCACACATGCTCTATAGTAGAAGCATTATATACATTAATTTCATCTTATGATGTTAGTAATCTGTGGCCTGTTGAAGTGAGTGTTGGTGTTTTGTTGATGCTGAGAAAAGCTTTCATGATGGTATGTAGCTGGTGAGGAACAGAGAGGAGTTTGTACTGGGTTCTCTGTGGTTTCACAGTCAGTGAATGCCCTATCCTCCTAGATAGACCATATCATGCTTCCAAAGAGTACCATGCATTGCTTAGAAGTTCTCTCTTGAAGGTGAGGAGTACAGTATGGACCTGGACAAAGATCTTTAAGTCATACTTACCTTCTCAGTCATCTCTCACTCTCTCATGCTTTTCAACCATTGAGTTAAGCTAAGCAGAAGAGCGAAAACAAAGCATTTGAGAAACAAGAGATTGAGCAGCTTTTCTTCAGAAAGATTCTTTTGGGAAAAATAATTGTGGTTTCATGGTTCTTGTTTCCTTCTCTGCAGGCCAAGCAGATAGAACTTCAGTTCACTATTGGCGAAGCCATCACTAGTGCTGCCATAGGAACTAGCTCTGTGGCTGCCCGCGATGCCTGGCTAGTGACCGAAGAAGAATATACTCCTCCTTCTGGTACTGAATGCACAGCTAATTGACTTATATTCACCAAGTAACCTTTCTGTGTTTTCTTGATCACATTTGGGGGAAAATTAACTCAATATTTTATATGATTTAGTAATTTGATTTAGTTAAGGAATATACTTGATTAAATAGAACATGAAATTAAGTAAAACTTTCGTTTTTAGCCCTTGGGCAAGCAAGCCAGAAAATTAATAGATTCCCTTCAAACTTGTCCTTTTTTCCTGAAGACTAGTTAGTTTGTTTGTTTATTTATTCTTTTACTTAGTTTTGTTTTAAAGAGGATAAAAAACAATAAAACCAATTAAAACAAACCAGTGTAAAACATACAGGACTTCCCCAACATTACAAAATCAGGAATAGTTACCATAGTGCCTTTTAATATCTTCAAAATAGCGGGAAATACCTTCGGACATAGTAAAAATCAAACAACAGAACAGAATACAAACAATAAAAACAAAACAATGAATGCAATAAAGGACTTCAAAACAAGCCAATAGTAAATCCAAAATGGCTATCGTAATATATGGTTATCTTTGAAATAGCTGCTCCTGCTATCAGATTTAACATAATCAAAACAAAAGAAAATAAAACCTAACCCCCATAAACAAATGGAAATGATATAGGACCTAAAAACAAGACCATAGGAAATCAACAGTGGCTGCAACTCTCAGAAGAAGATCCCCCCTAGATAACACATAGTGTACTGCTGTCCTCTGAGCCCATGATCTGACCACTGGCCCTAGACCTGCAATGTTAGTGAAACAGCAAAGCACCACAGGTATCCAATTGCAATTTCACCTTAATAGCCATCCTCACAGTCTCTGTTTCTCCTGCTTAACTGATCGCTTATGGTGTGTGTGTGTGTGTGTGTGTGTGTGTGTGTGTGTGTGTGTGTGTGGGTGTGGGGGGTACTTCTTGTTTGCTAGCCTGTGCACTAGAAAGGGCAAGGGTTTGGCTGTTCCAACCTGGCGGCAACCCACGTGTGGTGCTAGTTTCCAGAGTGGGTTTGCTTTCTGATGTGGCCTTCTTCTCTCTAGCCCCTGTGCGCAAATGGTGCTGACTCTGAGGATTAGTGTTTTTATCTAGTTTTTAGAAATTGAGGTATAGTAGTTTCCAAATTAGGTCCCCTGATAGTTTATTATACAGTAACAGTCAGTGTCTTTTGCCAGACCTGAAGGTGCACTGGCTTTTAGTGACGATAGTCAAAGGACCATGTGGTTCCTGATTCTGTGTTACAGATACTTAGATTTCAGGTATCTTGTGGTTTGACTTGAATTTGAAATTAAAGTGTATTTCAGTATTTGAGCTAGAAGTTTCTTTTCTTAAAACAAATAGGAAAAAATCATTTTTTTGTGTTTTATTTCTACAGTTGTGGAAATTAAATGGTAGTGTTCTCATTGTAATACTTTAACTGTGAATTGTTTCCATTATGAATACATTAACTTAGTTATTTCATTTCGGGGTTATAGTTAACATTCAGCAGTGCAGTGCTGTGTTCATCTGTTACTTCATTAGCCACCACAAAGAGCTTTCAAAGAAATAGAAAAACACACTTCTGCTTGTACTGTAATTAGGACTGTGGATGATGGAAGCTGAATTAGTCACTTCTCCGGAGACTTCTCTTTAAAAGCATATGAATTAAGCAAGAAGAAATTTGTATTGAAGGAAAAAGGTACTCAAGAAAAGTGACCATTGTTGCTAAAGTCTGGAGTGGAATTTCCCAGGTTGGATGTGAGAGGTGACAGCAGAGGACTGACTGTGAGGGCGCACGCTGAGGAGTAATTTGCTGTGTGAAGCATGTTTTTGATTTCATAGTTGTTCACATAGCAGTTTAAACAGATAAAGGATGGTAGAGACGTGTCACAGCAGTCTTCACATTTACAAGCTTCCTCTGTGTTATCTTGGGCTGTTTTTTTTTTTTTTTTTTTTTTTTTTGTGCCGCGGATTGAACTCATGACTTTGTGCTTGCCAAGCAGGCACTTAATGCCGCTGAGCTAAACCCCCGATCCCCTCTTAGGCTGTTTTTAAAAGATTGATTCTGCTTGGCTTTTTCCCTGTGTGAAAAAGTCTGGTTTCCATTAAATGTTAAGGTAACTGGGCATGGTGGTACATGTTTGTAATTCTAGCATTTGTGTGGCTGAGGCTAGAGGATCTCTCTGGATTCAAGGCCAACCTGGGCTATACAGTGAGTTCAAACACAGCCTAGACTACTTAGCCAGACCCTGTTCCAATAAACAAAACAAAACAAAACAAAACAAAGCTATGTTGTCGTGTCTTTAGGGAAATAGAAACATCAAACATTGTAGAGAAGTGAGTGCTGATGAGCCTTTGACCTGACTTTGATCATGCATGTTTGTATGCCATTTTTAGCTGAGTCCTACTCAGCCTTTAGTAAATAATTTGTTAGTCAGTTATGGCCAAAGTCATGGACATCTCAGTATCTCTAACACGTAATATCTGGCATACTGTGGGACTCTAGTAAGAGTTTATTCCCTTGGTAATTATAGTTGCCCAGTTGGTAGAGTTGTAGCTATCTGGAATTGTGGTTGGGGGAAAGTCAAAGGAAGGTTTTCATCTGAATCTGAGAACTAGGTTAGTATGTTCATTAAGGAGCCATGACTAGGTGAGGCATTAGGGGTGTATTGTACACTATTAATAGGTTGATTAAGATGAAGTGACCGTTGGACTTGGTAACAGGAAAGTAATTGAAAAATTTTTATGAAAAAGAGAGAGGTAAAAGGCAGATTTGGAGTAAGTTTAAGAAAAATTGAGAGGAAGTAAAAGTTTGACCTTGACAGCTGTTTTGAAGGAGTTAGTGTAAAACAGTAGTTCCTGACTCGAGGAGCAAGACATTTAGTAATAGGTGCACACTGGGGAGGATGAATGCTACTGGTCTCGTGTGGGTGGAGGCAGAAGGCAGTGTACAGGACAACTCTGCACAACAAAGGATTATCCAGCCAAATATGTTGGCAGTTGAGAGGGTTGCAAACTCTGAAATAATGAAGGAAAGGAGAAAATGCATGGTAGCTGGAGGAACAAGTGAAGCAAAATAGGATGGTACGTTGGTTTGTTGTTAGATAGAAGACAAGAAAGACCTGGTAGAGAGAGATTTCTGAGAGGGATAACTTTTCATTCTGTGGAACCAAAGTTACTCGAATATACCTTTGAAAGGTTATTTAGCTTTTGCTAGGTTCTGAGGTGAATCATTGATTCCTGCAGCAACTATTTTTTTCTTTTTTTACTGGGGATTGAACCCAGGGCTTTTATGCTGAGCAGGTACATCCTCAGTCTTTTTGAAATTTATTATTTAGAGTCAGTTTTGCTAAGTTGCCCAGGCTGGGCTTGACTGCTTCATCCTTCCAGAGTGCTAGGATTACAAGTGTGTGCTATCACTCTGGGCTACATTTCAGTTGTTTGGATTTTAATGTGTTACAGAACTATTGTATCGAGTAGTTATTGATTTGAATTTAGATTTTCAGGAATCTACTGTTATTTTGTTATTTTTTTTTTACTTTTCTTCAGGAGCCAAAGTGAATGATGTGGTACCATGGGTGTTGGATGTGATTTTAAATAAACATATCATCAGCCCCAACCCACATGTGAGGCAAGCAGCTTGCATCTGGCTCCTTTCCCTCGTAAGGAAGCTCAGTACCCACAAAGAAGTAAAGGTAAGCCATGTTGTATGTGTGATCAGGTCGCTTGGAAACTACAATGTTTTTAAGTGAAGGGTGGAAAGGAAAGTGTATGAAGATGAGGTCATTAACCAGAAGTAGATATTTTGAAATAAGCTCTATTTGAAGGCATGAAGGATGGTAGCCAATAAATACTGAGTTGAAGGTGATCTAACCTGGAGTGCATAAAGTCAGAAGTGCTGAGGAAGGGGAGACACAGACTGGGATAGAGGTTGAATTAGGGCACCTGTAAGGGTAGGGAGGGGGCAACAAGGTTTGTGCCCGCCTTGATTATAAGACAGGTGTTTTGTGCTCCAAAAGTAGCAGTCTTGCTTTCCTGAAGTGGTAAGGTTTCTGTTACAATGACTTTTTTTTTTTTCCAGTCTCGTCTTAAAGAAATTCAGAGTGCATTTGTTTCAGTCTTGTCGGAAAATGATGGTAGGTTCTTGGTAAATATTTAATTTATTTATTTTCTGAGATGTGGTCTTGTTATCTTGCTGTGTTGTCCAGGGTGATCTTTAACTCTCTTGAGCTCAAGTGATCCTCTTGTTTCAGCCTCCTGAGTATTGGAATTACAGGCATGCATTATCATGCCTAGCAATTAAATATTTTATTTCTAAAATTTATTAAACTTACACTTATAATTTTGAAACATCTTGATTATTGAACATAAAACTTCCTGAGCTATGTGATTAAAACAAATTAAACTTTGTTATTAGTATTAATGGTAATAATACTGGTGAAAAAAACTAAAGAGAACTTCTGATTAGGATACAGAAAATTAGATTTCTTTGGTTTTTATCTAGAATTAGAATATGTTTTTGAGCTTTGCATTTAAAACTGTAGCTGCAGCTTCTTTAGTATTGATGCCTCTACTAAGTATTAACTTTTTTCTCTTTCTGATTACCTTTCCTCTCTGATTGAACCTAGGATAAAGTAAATGTGTTAGACATATAAGTAGTAACTTTGTTTTATAACTTGGCTTCACCAATACAATCTTTTATTGACTTCATTTTTAAAAGTTGAATATCAGTGTATTGAAATCCTGTGATATGGTTTTATCTCTGATGTGTATAATTTATATTCTGTCATTGTGCACTATTGAATGACCCTGAGGAGGTCTGTTGCTGTTGTCTTGTCTTGTGAATTTTTTAAAAATGTATTTCTCGGGGTGGGGATTTAGCTCAGCGGCATAAGCGCCTGCCTTGCAAGCAGGCAGTCGTGAGTTCGATCCCTGGTACCGATAAAAAGGAAAAAGACCAAAAAAAAAAAAAAAGTATTTCTCATTGCAGTGACTCCTGGGCCATGTCCTCTGAGTTTCTAGCAAAATTAGCAGATTGATTATGTTTTCCTGTTTTTACTTTGATGTTGTTCTGAGTTAAAGTTAACTCAACTTTTAAGAAAATTTGGCTTGATGGTGTTAGTTGCATTTTAAAAAAATAATAGAATTATGTCTAAATTTTTTTTTTTAACAGAACTTAGCCAAGATGTTGCCTCAAAAGGCCTTGGGTTGGTTTATGAACTAGGCAGTGAACAAGATCAACAGGAGTTGGTGACTACACTTGTAGAAACACTGATGACTGGCAAAAGGTATGGTGAACTTGAGAATTTCAGACTTACATATGGTAAGTATGTACATACGGAGAATATGCTAAAATGAAGGAAGATTTAGCTTTATTTATACATCCCAGTGCATTTATTTACTTTAGAAACATGCCAGTAGGTCAAACTTTGAAAGTTGAAAGGTCTCAGGGTAATTAAAGCATTGGTTTACAAAAATGCCATAGTTATGGATGGCTAGTCTGTGATCTGTGAAGACTATGTAGGCAAAGTCAGTCTTTGAATTGGTTGCTGCTTTATGTTGCTTTCCTGTTGGGAAGAAGCACTTTTCATTGTGTGGCCACATTTAATTCAGTGTGGTTTTGATGTCTTTTATGTTTATTAATTTGTTGAGTCTAGATTTGATTTTGTAAGGTCTCCAGCCTAACAAAGAGTTGACTCCTATATCTTGCATACAGTAAACAGTTGATAAGGAGTTTAGTTTTATCAGTTTACAAATGAAATGCATCTGTTAGTTGAATACTGCTATAGGAAGTTTGAGGCTAATTTAAATTCCTGTTATTTTGGTATAGAGCTAAACATGAAGTTTCTGGAGACACAGTGGTATTTCAAGGGGGATCCCTTGGCAAAACACCAGATGGGTAAGTATGCCAAATCCATTGATCAATTAGTGTAGATGTCTTTAAATTTTTTTTTTTTTAAGTTTGGTAAATAGAGCTGTTGTGAAGTTGATTTTTACCCTCCTAGGAAATGTTTGTTGATGGCAAAATAAAACTTGTATGGAAAAATCCTGCTATCTTAGATTGGGTTTCTTGGTCTCTGAGAAGGAGATTTATATTGTGAAGGTTTGTTGGGTAGTCCCCTGAGGATTGTGTTTGGGGAGCAAGCCAGAAAGAGGACTGTTGGCAGAGGGAGTGGCTGAAACGACTGCCATTACTTTAGCAGGTCCTGAACTCTCAGTGAGCTCTGAGCTTTGGGGGATGGCTGTTTGTTGTCCTGCTCTTAGATAGATTCCAGGTCTTTTTGTTCCCTCATGAGAACATACCCTCTTAATGAACAGCCATTGGCGGTGGCGGTGCCCTGAGAAAGGCCATGATCTTGGGCTCTCAGGGAAGTTCTGGGCAATTAACTAAGCTAAGAGCTTTTAGCTCCCAGACCTTTGACAGCTAGTGTACCTCCTTTTTTAGTGGGGGCAACTCAGTGTTTTAGAATTGTCCCATTTACCAATCACATTAATTCTTTGAACTTTATCTCTTTTATCATTATTCCTTGTGGTTGTGCTGTTACTTTTTGTGTAAGAATTGCCAGGTAATCCTGTGCTGCTTGCTCTATCTTCCTGTGGACTTAAGAATAGGAGAAAGCTACATGTTGTTCATTTGGTCCTTACATTCTTCTGCAGAGCTCAGTTTTCATATCAAAAGTGTTTTATTTCCCCATGATACTGGAGTTGAATCTAGGACATTGTGCTTGCAAGGCCAATATACTGTTGAACTATATCCACAGCCCCCAAAGTTTTTACTTCACTTACTCTGTTTATAAACTGAGTCTTTAAAAAAAATTCCTGACTTTTCAAGAGCTAAGACAAAATCATTAGATATTTGAGCAAATATTATTCCTTCAGTGTAAAGTTAGCTGTGTTTAAAGAAGTTATCAGCATTAGGATGGTCTAACTTAGAAAAAGACTTGGGGGAGACAAGTGACTTGTGATTTTTGTACACTCTAATGAGGAATAACTCAATTGTGTCCCATTTGAGGGCTTCACTTTCATGAGTGTTATAGGTACATTTTGACTTTTTACCAGCAGCAGTGTAGAGGGGCTTAGGATTTGTTGGTGATCGAATTAGGCAGCTTTTTGTGTTCTTCTCAACTTGATGTTATGTCTCCATGGTGATAATTCATATTAGAAATTGACTAAAAATGTAATTTTAAAATGGTTCAGTAATTTTGGTGAGGTAATATGTATTAGTCTGGAGATAGAGAAATACATTATTGCATACTTCTTTTTCTCTGTTTCTAAGCCAGGGCCTTTCTACTTATAAGGAGCTTTGTTCTTTGGCAAGTGATCTTAGTCAGCCAGATCTGGTATATAAATTTATGAATTTGGCCAACCATCATGCAATGTGGAACTCAAGGAAGGTAAGTTTTATCACTGGGCAGGTTTTCTACTTTTCCCCTTCCAAACTCAAGCATGCCATGTTGGCACACAGTAGCAGTTGGTATGCAGTGGATTTTGTGAACTTCTGCAACTGGGAGCCATACCATCACCTGGGAGCCATACCATCACCTGCCTACTATTACGGATTGATAAAGCTAGAACACCCAATAAATCAGACTGTTTAGGGAAAAGTTTGGGAGGGAGAATTGTTTTGTTCTCATAGATTCAGTGTTAGTGTTTTACTGTAGCAGATAGGTTTGAACCACTTCATCTTATTATCACCATTTTTAGGGTGCTGCTTTTGGTTTTAATGTCATCGCCACGCGAGCTGGAGAACAACTGGCTCCTTTTCTGCCTCAGCTGGTTCCTCGTCTTTATCGTTATCAGTTTGATCCCAACCTTGGCATTCGACAAGCCATGACAAGTATTTGGAATGCGTTGGTCACTGACAAATCAACGGCAAGTATCTGTGAACCCCAGTGTGTCTGCAAAACGTTGTAGTTTGTTCAAATTCACCCATGAAGTTTCAGCCCAGTGCTCATCCTCTTATCTTGTATACTTATTTTTTTAAAATAAGCTTTCGTTCATTCCTTGTTTACTTCCTTCTCTTAAAATATCAAAGATGCTATAACAGTATTGAAATTTTAAAAATTTATTGAAGCAGTCTAAATGTCCATTGGATGAGTGGTTAAATAGCAGTATGTTCAACAGATAGAGCTATATGTTGATAAGCAGTATTGAAGGCTTGGAAAATGAGTCCTAGTTCCTCTTTTGTTGTATGTATATGCTTATGTATATGTATTTATGTGGTACTGGCACTTAAACAAACCTGGGGCTTCATGTTTGCTGCTAGGCAGGCAGTTCTAACACTAAACTACATCCCAGCTCTTGAATTTTTTTTTTTTTTTTTTGAGGCAGCATCTAACTGAATGTTTTAGGCTGCTCTAAAACATGAAGTTTTCTGGTCTCAGCCTCCAAGTTGAAATTGTAGGCATGTGCCAAGACACCTAGCAGAGTTCTACTTTTAAGTAGTTTCTTTTCAGTGAAGAAGACCCCATGTATTTTCTTTCTTGATGTTCTATCATCTGGTTATTTATTCTGTATTACTTTCACATAGTAAGAGTTTCCAGGGTTTACCTCTGAGTACCAGTTGCTCTTTCAGCTTTTGCAGTATCAGTTTCAGGGGATATAAACATAGTGGTTAGTGTGACAATTCCCAGTCCTCTACTTCTGCCTCAGATGTGACGTGTACTCCAGACTTTTATCTGTCTGCTTGGTTTCTTCCCTTAGCTGTTGTTTCAAATACCTCCTTACTTTAGTGTCCAGAGCAGGGCAAGACTTTAATAAAGTGTTCTTTGAATTCACTTTCTTTTTTTTTTTTTTTTTTTTTTTTTTGAGACAAGATCTTACTGTGCAGTTCAGGGGCTGGCCTTGAGCTCGCTTTGTAGCCCAGGCTGGTCTCGAACTCTCAGTGATCCTCCCGAGTGATGGGATTACAAGCATGAGCCACCATGCCCGGCTGAATTCACTTTCTTTTTTCCAGATTCTTTCCTGGTCTACAAATTATCACGTTTCTCTTATCTTTGCCTTCTGTCATCTAATTATCTGCATAATCAAATGAGGAAAAGTGATTTTTAAAAATGCAAATTGTATTGTATCATTTAAGAAGTTTAAAATCCTTCTTTGGTTTTACAGCTCATTTTAAGTAAATTCTGTGATCCTTTCCATGTTTTAAAAGTCCTTGCATATGATGTGAGGCCCTTTTTTCTTTTTTCATGTGGTAGTTGAATGCATTCCTGTTCATGAGATAGCTACTTGAAGGTTGAAGCTTCTTGAAGGTTGAGCTTTGAAGGCTTGATGAGTTCTGTTTGTGGTACCTCTGGATCATCCAATGTGTAGTGCGTCAGTGAGTCTTAAAGATATGAGTTTAAGGCAAGGCCTGTGCTCTTAAGATGTGAGCTTAATACCCCTGTGTGAGTGAAAGGTGAGGCTGTGATGACATCATCTGTGGGGAGAGGAGAAGGGCACAGGAGGGTACCAGCTTTTTCAATTTTAGGTGTTATTTATCTTTATGTTTTGGTTTTCTTACCTGTAAGTGAGCATAACAAAAACTTTTTTACCTACAAGAGTAAAAATGAAAAGGCCGCAAGTTCTGAGAGTCTTTGGATTTATAGATGTGAAAACTGAGTGTACATCAATTTGTTGTTATTACCAGGTTGATAAGAATACATCAGAGCAGAGGCTTAGAATGTTAAACTCACCTTTTATCCTGACCAGTCATACTTCCTTATGAACCAGACACTGCAAGATACTGAGGATAAAAGATGAAATATTGTCCTCACCCTTGAGGTCTCCAGTGTAGTGGGGCAAGGGTGTTACTGTGTAGTCTCATGTGACGAACCTTAAGAAGGTATTATGGGAAATGAGGGCATGAAGAATGTCCCTAGACCAGAGTTCTCTGGGTAGTGGCTAATTAGAATCTTTTTTTTTTTTTTTTTGGTACTGGGAATTGAACTCAGGACCTTGTGCTTTCCAGGCAGGCGCTTATGCTACTGAGCTATGTCCTCAGCCCTAATTAGAATCTTGGTGGGTAATTTTAAGTTAGTCCGCTAAGTAGGACATGAAGAATATTATGGTAGAGGTAGTATGTATGTGCCAAAGAATGGAAGTGAGATAGGACAAGATATCTTTGGAACTGTGTTCAAGGCTTTGTGTTCATGCTTAGGTGTTTGGATTTTAATCTCTTACACTGAGGGGGAAAAGTATTGATAGTTTACATTTCAGAGTGATTATTCTGAAGTGATGAAAGTGGGGATATATTTTTAGGCCAAAGGGCTTAGAGATATTTAGGTTGTTTAATATAGAAATAAGATCAGTATAGTTAAAAAGTGAATAATTTGCTTGTTGGTGAATTTTATATTTTTAAATTGATTCTCTTGCTTTTATTAGGTTGATAAATATTTGAAGGAAATTCTTCAAGATTTGATTAAGAACCTTACCAGCAATATGTGGCGAGTTCGAGAATCCAGGTACTATTTGTAAATATAAGACTAGTCAAACATAACTGAAATGTATTTTTCCTTCAAAGTTTCCTACCTATGTAAAAAGAATAAAAACCACTAAAAAGCCTATTTCTGGTTTGGGTAGACAGTTACATTTTTGTTAATTATTAAATCTCTGATCAATGATTTTTCTAAGTTTATCTAAGAATGAGATTAAGCCAACTATGCCTAAAATACCAGTACACTAGGAGGCTGATGCAAGAGGATTGCAGTTTGGAGACCAGACAACAATTTAATCAGACTAACAATCAATCAATCAATCAATCAATAAATAAATAATCAATCTTGGGTGCAGTTTAGTGCAATGCTCTGGCCTTCAGTTCTTAGTACTGCCCACCCCAAATACACGAAATCGAAGTTGAAGATCATTTTTTTTGTCTTTGTCCTTTTCATCAGTACCGGGGATCGAACTCACGACTGCCTGCTTGCAAGGCAGGTGATCCAGCCCCTGGATCATTTGTTAAATTGAAAGACATCAAGATATATCTTTAAGTTGGATGTGGTTGCGCCTACCTATAGTCTCAATACTGTGGAAGAGAGAGTCAGAAGATGGCTACCCTGGGCCCAGCCCGAGCAGCTTGATGACTTAGTGACACTGTATCTCAAAATGAATAAAAACAACTATGGCTGGAGTTGGGTGGGGAGTTCCTGGGACCTAAACCCCAGGATTACCAAAGAAATAAGAAATATCTTCATATACTCTCATGACTTCGATGAGTAGCATCTATTTTTATATATAATTTATGTAAAATTTTGTAATTTATATTTATTTATTGCCTGCTATATGCTTGGCAGCCTGCTAGTGCCTAAGGGCATACTGGTGAGTAAATAGTGGTCTGTCACGATGGTGGGAAATAAACATTTGATGATTGGAAATGCCATATATATGTAATACATTTGAGGTACTAAGAGAATAGTCCTGGGGAAAGAGGATTAGGATTGTAAATATAGACAAAATCTATATCATTGTTTGATATAAAATGTTTCACAGCAGAATATTGAGCGTTATCATATATTTGAAATCAAATTTTTTATTTTCAGCTGTTTAGCTTTGAATGATTTACTGAGAGGAAGACCCTTAGATGACATCATTGATAAACTTCCAGAAATTTGGGAAACACTTTTTAGAGTACAAGATGATATCAAGGTATTACAGAAATAAATCTGCAGTTGTTTATAGAATAGCTTAAACAGGAACTATGAAAACATGTTAAATTATTTCAGAAGTCTGTATCTAGACAATTTTGAGAAATTATAGTTTCTTCTCAAAACTTTCACTTGGATGTGTCTGTGAAGTTGCAGGGTTAGATTATCTTTAGATATAAGTCAAACTGACTTACATCTAAAAATACAAGAAAGGAAAAGATGGCTATCGCCTGATTTTCTTTTCAGTAGACATATTATGATACTATTGGCTTAGGGGCAGATAATTATTTTAAAACAATTAAAAACAAATTTACTTTGATAAAGTTCATAAAGATGGGTCTGTTGTTCCCAAATAACATTAATGAATATTTCTCTGAGTTTTTCTCAGGAGTGTTAGTTTCACATTAGTATAATAAAATATCTGAGATTATTAACTTATAAACAGAAAAGGTTTATTTTATTTCACAGTTTTGGAGGTTCCATTGTTTTGGGCCTCAAGCAGGAACATGTAGTAAAGTAAAACAGTTCAGTTCATGGCTAGGAGGGAAAGAGGAAGAAGGAAAGAGAAGGAGGAAGAGTCCAAGATCCCACAGTCCCCTTCAAGAGTACACTGCCATTGACACCTGAGGACCTCCTGCTAGACCTCACCTCCTGAAGTTTCTACCACCTCCCAGTAATGCCACCACGTAGACCCAGCCTTTAGCACAAGAGCCTTTGTGAGACAGAATTTAAACTGTAACACTGGGCAAGTTAGATTTAAGTATTTTATTTTTTATCCTTATAATTAGGCATTTCAGACTTGCCTTTCTTTTTACCTTATTTATTAGAAATTTTAACTGTTTCAAAATCCCTAAATCTTTATATATTTAGTTTCTGAGTTATATTTTTAGTTCTGAATTATTATACTCAATAGCAAAAAATTTAGAAGGTCAAAATAGACCATACTATATTTTTAAAAATAATATGGCATTATACAGTGTTGTGATCTTGATTGAGAGTAGAATTTTTCACTAATGATACTGTAATTAACTGTCCATTGTAAGGTAGATGAGATTAACTTGTTTGATGGCAGACTTTTCTCACTTTAGGAGTCTGTACGAAAAGCAGCAGAACTTTCTCTGAAAACCCTGAGCAAGGTGAGAGCTCCTGTCTAATAACAGTGATGGAGTTAAACAAGATTCTTTGTGACTTTGACACTGCTGTCTTTTTTATCGCTTAAGATAACATTTAGTTTGTAGTTGCCTTCACATTGTAGTTCAGTGCTATTACAATGAATGAGAAAGTAGGTGTTGTTGCATCAGAATACAGGTATCTCAAACACAGTATACTTCTGTTCTCTTTAAGTGGAAAGCTTCTGCATGCCTTTACGTGAGGTATAACTTACACCTGCCCATGAAGAGCACATTACCTACTTGAATCAAACAAATCTATTTTTTCCTTTTACCATATATATTTATTTATGATATTGGCAAACTTTCTGAAACTAGTTTGCCACTTGAACTTGATTTTGTGATTATCAAGGATTTTAACATTCTAGTTACATATACAGTACCTTGTCATAGGTCACATCTTTAATAAGTAGTAAAACTTTTAAATCAAGGTGTTTGTCATTCCAGATTTGTGTTCCTTACTAGTGTATTGTCCTACTACCTAAAAGTGTTGACAGTGATACTTTAAGCACTCTTAAAGTGCTTGCTTATACTCATTTTATCTCACTTCTGTTGTTCCTTATTTCACAAGTTAGAAAAATAAAAATTTAGAGAGTAAAATGCATTATGAATTGGCAGATTTAGGACTCAATGCTCATTTCTCTGTTTTTCCATCTTAGTAGGCTCACTCTTTTCTACTGATAGTGAAGTAAAAAGGATTTTGTTAAATGAATGCTTTATTGATGGAGAGGTCAGTTTTACTAGTTCTGTGTTCTTTGTACGTGAGGTTTGTGTGAAAATGTGTGACCCTGCGAAAGGTGCGGCTGGCCAGAGAACCATTGCTGTCCTCCTCCCTTGTCTTCTGGACAAAGGAATGATGAGTCCTGTGACAGAAGTGCGAGCCCTCAGGTATGAGTCAGCCGATGAGAGGAATATTGAATCGCTTGCTTCCTAGCCATTGGGTAGGGATTGTTTCTTTAAGTCTTAGATTCTGGAAGTTAAGAAGAGGTAGACTGTGGACAAGCCATTGAGGTAACCCAGACATTTATGAAAATTATTGAGTCAGAATATGTTTGAAGTAACTTTCTCAGGGGAGCTTATTTTTGACCAGCATTCTTTTTATTTATTTATCTTTTGGTACTGGGAATCGAACTCATGACCTCATGCTTGCCAGGCTGGAATTGTGCCACTGAGCCATATGCTGGCCCTTTGACTAGCATTCTGAGTTGCATGGTACTCTATTGTCGCTGGTTCTTACCATTTCACCATTTGTGCCATAGTTGCTCACAGGTTGCTTATAGCACTTTGTAATGCTACTGTTCTGCTACCTTGGTAAAATAGTCTATCTAGTGATCGTTAGCGGCTTTGGTATCCCTGAGAGGATGGCTGATGGGAGACATTATGATGATCCAAAGCAGTCAATCTTGAACTCAGTGATCACTTTTCACAGCGTAGAAAGATACCCAGATATGAGTGTCCTGATGTGACTCAACATGATACATGTAGCACTTCTTATAAAAGATTCTTTTTTTAATAATTGAATTTCAACTTGATTTAGCCTACAGATCTGGATAGAGGTCAGAAAATACATTAAATGACATAACTGCAGCACAGTCAATGAAAACATAAATAGAACTAAAAGAGGAAGATGTCTATGAAAAAAGATTCAAGGAATGGAGTAATTTGGAGTAGATGAATTCTAGATCTTCATTCCAATAAAACAGTGTTTAAAAAATTTGTGAAACAATAAGGAAAATTTTAGTGTTAGAGGATAAGAAAAAGTTATTAGTGTTTTAGAGTGTGAAAGTGTTACTCTGATTATATTGCTGCTGACATTGTGTTGTAGAATGTGCTTTCTTTACGGCAGTGACAAGGGGAAAATAGTGGCAGAACGGATTGAGGGAGATAGAAATAAAGCAGAGTTGACCAAATGTTGCTGAGTTTTGAACTAGGTGGAGAATACAATGGCTTTCATTTAGGATCCTCTTTACTTTGATATGTACTTGAAAATATCTGTAATAAAAAAGATTTTTAAAAAGTCAGGGGAATGAAGGTGCCCTGGATTTGAGTCCTCCCCCTTCCCCACCCGCCCCCAGTTGCCAGGACCAGGTTCTAACCACATGACCATGTGAGTACGTATGCATCAGAATTTAGTAAACTGCAGAATATCTCATGAGTAGATGTGTAAGATTTCTTATTTTTGGTAAAAGGACTCAGGAATTGTGTTCTGTGTGTCTGTAGCATTAACACCCTTGTGAAGATCAGCAAAAGTGCAGGAGCCATGTTAAAACCACATGCACCAAAACTCATCCCAGCTCTGCTAGAGTCCTTAAGTGTGTTGGAGCCTCAGGTTCTCAATTATTTGAGCCTCCGGGCTACAGACCAAGAAAAGGTGAGTTGATAGCAGAAGTATATTGGTAAATACTGTGAAGGAAGAGACCTGTCAAGGTACTGAGGTCCATCTGAGTAGTACTTCCAAAGTGCTTTGACAGACTCTGTAACTCATGTGATATTCTCAGCACTCTTATAAACAAAAACAGCTTCACTCCTGTGACAGCCTGCAGTGTTTTACTAATTTTTCAGAGGGGGCAGAGGGTTTGGCTTATACTACTGTGTGAATCAGATGAAGACTGACAGCATCTTTAAAATGTATGAATATGAATGTAATACAGTTTTTGTACACTGTTGTTAGGATTTGAGTTTATACTTGTAGAGTCCTATGGCCTTCTCCCTGCCCTAAAGATAAAGAGGACTTGTCTCTAGACTTTAGTGTTTCTTAGAATTGCTCCAGTTTTCAAATATACTGTTGCCTTGTCTTTAATCAGAATCATTTTTTAAAGATTGCAAATGAAACGTAAGCAAAATTAAAACAACACAGAAAGGGTAAAATACAATCTGTTAGGGGTCTCCACTGTGCTGTGCCTTTTTAAAAATTCTTTTATAGTCATAGGCTAAAAAACCAAACAAACGTACTAAAATAGACTTGAGTGTTGTTCTGCAACTCAGTCTTTTAAAATTTAAAGATATGTCATGTCTTTATATAGATTTATTTTACTCTTTTGAATTCTAGAGTGAGATCATTTTGAATTTTTGTAGGATTTTGCAACATCAAAGGTTATGAATCCCCCTCCCCGACCTTTGCCATCCTTGCCTAATGACAGTCTGACAAAAAAGATTTCAGTTTTATTTTGCATGTTTCTTGTATGGGAGTGTTCATTGTCTTTTCATATAGTACTGTCTCATTATACAGTATTTCTACTGTGAATTGTACTTTTGTTCCATACATATTTTTCTACTTGGCTTTTTTTAACCTTTCATTTTATTTATTTATTTATTAAGCTCCTGTCATATGTATCTTGTCTCGTTCACCATTTGATTTTGATTTGCCTAAACTGTTCTCCTAAATGCTGTAGTTCTGACCTCTAACACTGTTTCTTCCTCATTTTCCAATCTCTCCTCTTCTGGCAGTAGACTCACCTTCTTAGGTTCCCAAGGAATGCTCGTTACATATTAGGAATTAGGAGACAAATTTCTGGTCCTAACTTTGCAGCCCTAGAGAAATAACTTTACATTCCTTTCCTCATGTATTTTTCCTGAATAACCTGTCTGCCAGCATAACTGTGACTAAAATACTGTTGTTTATATGAAGCCTCATTACAGAGCTAAAGAACTAACTGTATACATTTTTTATTTTGTGGAAAATTCTCAAAAACCTTAGATAGAAGTTTAGTTTCTTCCTTTATGTAGTGGCTAGGGCACCGAGTTCCAAGAAAGCTGGATGACTTGCTCGAGCCAAGTGTGTTAACTTCTCCTGATTGTTTGAATTTCTCACCTTGAGTCACTACTTTCCAGGTGAATTGTTGAATGAGGGTTAAGAAAAACTAGAGTTAGACTTATCTTTGACTTTATTATAGATTATCTTTTTTAAGAGTTCTTTTGTTTGGAAGTAAAGTCCTCTTGTGGGGTTTTGTGTAGCCCGTTCCTAATTAGTTGAATGAAATGAGTGAATCTGTGTTCTTCAGGCTGCAATGGACAGTGCTCGACTCAGTGCTGCCAAATCCTCTCCCATGATGGAAACAATCAATATGGTAGGTTTCTAAGCATCCTGAGAACGGTTGCTTTCCTTCATGTGTAATCCTTCAGTGTCTTTGGACTGCATTAAATGAAACAGTTTGAAGGGATGCATCAAGTAGTTATTGGGACTCTAGGTTTTTTTCCTTCTTTTCCTTCTTTTTTTGAGACAAGGTCTCACTATGTAGTTTTGGGTGGCCTCTAACCGGTGGCAATCCTCTTGCATCAGCCTTCTGAGTGCTGGGTGTATGCCACTGTGCCTGGTATTTTTTTCTTTTTAAAATACTTTATATTTTAAAATTTGTAACGAGGACGTAAAATCTGTACATATTTATGAGTAGTTTTTGGGGGTTTTTTGGTATTGGGGATCGAACTCACAACCTGGCGCTTGCCAGGGAGGCACTGTGCCACTGAGCTATCTCCCTGGCGCTATGAGTAGGTTTTTCTTAATTCTGTATATTCTTTTTGTTACTGAATGAAGTAATTTTCCAAATGCTAGAATGAAGTAGTCCAAATTTTTGTCACAGGGTGTAGTAACGTTAAACGTTCCCTCTATAACTCTATTTCTGTATATATTTTGGTCTGCCTATTTAGAAAGAAATGCCTATTTGGCATTTTTCTTCTGCCTCTTCCTGAGAGCTGTTTTTAGGGCAGACCAAGAAAGTGAAAGCTAGAGATAGTGAATAAAGTAGGTGACATAGAAGGCTTGTGAAGGGAACTAAGCAGTGATGTGTTGTTTCAGTTATAGGAAGGGATTTGCAGTGAAGAGTTGCCTGGAACTTTGAGTTCTTGGGGGTCTTTTTTTCTTTTTTCCTTTTTTTTTTTTTTTTTGGTCTTTTTCGTTTTTTTTTTTTTTCCATCGGTTTCAGTGATCGAACTCATGACTGCCTGCTTGCAAGGCAGGCGCCTATGCCGCTGAGCTAAATCCCCAGCCCTGTTCTTGGGGTCTTGAGAGAGTCAACTCTGGTAGGCATTTCCTGCAGTGGTTAACTAAGAGCTTGTGACCTATTGGAAATTGTCTGGCTAAGAAGACCACAATATTAGACAAGAAGGATAGATATTTTTTAATGCCCATGGGGGAGCTATTACCAAAATTTGATCCAAAGGTATTATGTCCTCCTTGAATTATTGAGGCCAAGTACAGTTTAAAAAAATAGGAATAGTTAACAGATACCATAGGTGATTGCATTATTAGAAATATGTATACCAAATCAAGGAATTTATCTAGTAAATTGAATTACTAAGAATTGTAGAATAGGCTAAGCATGGTGAAAAAGGTTAGTTTTAACATAGGCTTTTTATATTGTACATTGATTGATAAAGAGGAAACAAGTTCAGAAAGATCCTTTATACTTAAGTAATCATTTTTTTAATATGTTGATTTTTAAAATTATTTTGTTTTATCTTGTTTTTAATGTCAAACTACTGATGATTTTTTTCTGTGTGTAGTATAATGATGGTTTACTGAAATCAGCAAAAGCACACCAGTGGCTTTTCAGCTTTATGTCAAATTCTGTGTGTATACATTTGACACGGTCAGTTTTTAATTGAAAATGTGGTACTGACTTATTTGCTAAGGCTAATCTGTATATTTATTCTTTTCCCAAAGTGTCTGCAGTATCTTGATGTGTCAGTGCTGGGGGAGCTAGTTCCTAGATTATGTGAACTGATCAGAAGTGGTGTAGGCCTTGGAACTAAGGTAAGCAAGTGTGTTTGTCAAAGAGGGAGTATGCATCTGCATTGGATTTTAGATATAAAAATATCATGCTTGAAATTTATATATTCATAAAACCTAATATTTATACACATTTTGTGTCTGTGACTACACTAATAACTTTTATGTATTTATTTTTTTTTTGATGGTCCCGAGGATTGAACCAGGGCCTTTACATTGAGCTATATATATCCCCCCCCCCCCCCCCCCCCCGCATTTATCTTTTGGCACAGGATTTTGCTATGTTCCTAAGTTGCTTGGTTTAGGCTCAAACTTTTTGATCCTCTTGCCCAGCCTTGCAGGATGCTGGGTTTACAGGCATGTACCACCACCATACTTAGCAACACTAAGAATTTAATTGATTTGAAAATAAAACATGATGCTAATTCAGGAATACTGTCTTACTTTCTGAGTGCAATTATTTCTGTTTCCTGGTTATCATTGTGTCCTTTAGTTCTCCATTGTTATATGTTAATAGAGATCTCATATAATTGTTAGGTGGTGGCTATTTTAGGCCATGATTACAAGTTTTCTTAGAGGGGACAACAGGATAGAAAAAAATACCTTCTTTTGAGATCTTACAAGGGTCAGTTTCTCCACTTTTTTTCTCATGACAGAAATCAGTATTAATATTTAAAATTTTAATATTTATTGCTTTGTAATGGTAGCACATTTTTATTAAAAGTAGGGAAAGAGACTCTGCAGACAAGTTTAGGCCAAGTAAAAGCAGAAAAAGAAGTATATCCTACAGCATGAGGGCAGGCCACCAATCAAGAGCAACACACAGTTGCCAAAATTTTAACATTTATATGTCAGGAGAAAGTTAAAAATAAAAATGTTTATAACTTTACCATGAAGAGAAAGCTGCTATTTATAATTGGGAATGTTTTGTCTCAGTATATTTTCTATACATGTATCTCTTGCTCTGTTTTCTGTGATACTCTATAGTATTGATATGCACATTTTTTTCAGTCTATCAAGGGACATCTGATTGCTTTCAGTTTTCACAAAACTGTTAAGCAGGCTGGGTGTGGTGGTACATGCCTGTAATGCTAGCAAATGCTGAGGCAGGATGCGAATTTGAAGCTAGTTTGGGCAACATAGAGAGTTCAAGGCCAGTCTGAACTAGATAATGAGATCATGTTTCCAAACAAGTTAACAAAGCTCTCTGGTGAATGTCTTTGGCTCCACTGAAAGCTGTTTCCTTTTGCTAGGCATCTGGGAATAGAAATGAATGGTAGCTAGCATAAGGATGGATGTTGGTATATGTTATCTTCCCAGAGGTTGTACCAGTTTTCTTTCTTGCTCAGTGTCTCAGATCACTTATCATCCTGCTGGTGGTCTTTAAAAAGTCTCTGTTATTACTAGTGTGAAATATGTTTTCCCTTTTCTTGATTGATTGCTGGAAGGGCTGTTGGCTTCATGTGTTTCTACCTTTAAATCATTGGTACTAAAACAAATTTGTAATAGACAGGACATTGTGACCATCAAATTTAGACCTGTGCTTTTGTAATCCTAAAGGGAGGCTGTGCCAGTGTCATCGTGTCTTTAACTACTCAGTGTCCCCAGGATCTAACACCTTTCTCAGGTGAGTTTGTCACATGATGTGAGGATATTTTTGCATACGTATCTTGCGTGATAAAATTTTAAAAAGAACAATATTTAGACCTGCTTGTGGTGCTCTGTGCTTTTGTTCCTGTCATACCCCTTTGCCTAATCTGTTTTTCTGTAGCAAGTATATTTTTGCTTAGCTGCATAAGGAGGTATCTGTCATTCTGTGGGTCTTACTCACCATTGGTAGCTAATTTTGCATCAGCACTTTTTTCTCATTAGATCAACTCCTGGGTTTGGCTAGAACCTAATGTATCTAGCTCTCATTTTTGTAACTTTCTTCATGATATTCTAGAACCTAGGTTAATTGTGAAGTTTTATAGTTAGTGAAGGAAGTTAAATAGTACAAATTGAGATCCAAAGATCTGTACTGCTGTAGCATAAATCAGACATTTCGATTTTGGGATCCTTGGAAAAGAGCAGAATAGTACGTATCAGATTTTTCCCTCTTATTTCTCATAGGTAAACTTATGAGTGCTTTGCTTAGTGGCCTGACGGATCGAAACAGTGTGATTCAGAAATCCTGTGCATTTGCAATGGGCCATTTAGTTCGGGTAAGTTGAATTTCTGATATAGTTAAATAAAATTCTTTGATAATTATAAAAAATGACTTAAGTTTCTTTTTCAGACCTCACGGGATAGTAGCACTGAAAAACTGCTGCAGAAGCTCAGTGGCTGGTATATGGAGAAAGAAGGTACCTCTTTTCTCTTTTAACATCTGTGATTTTGTTGCTTTGCTAGAAACACTTCTAATTGATTTTATCTGTTTGTATTGCTGTAGCACACATTGTATAATAGTCTTTTGGTCAGTACCCTGAGAAACAGTAAGTAGATAAAAGTTTTGTTTCTTCTCTTCAGAACCCATCTATAAGACATCTTGTGCTTTGACTATTCATTCGATTGGACGATACAGCCCTGATGTATTGAAAAACCATGCCAAAGAAGTTCTGCCATTAGCATTTCTAGGCATGCATGAAATTGCTGATGAAGAAAAATCTGAAAAAGAAGAATGTAACTTATGGACTGAGGTGTGGCAGGAAAATGTACCTGGTTAGTAAACAGTACCTGCTTTGGAAACACAACTGGAATGTTGTTCTCAACTTATTTATACGTAAATTCCTCTGTAGTTGTTAAGGACTTATACATCCCACTTAATTTTAAGCCTAATTAGATTTCTGAGGTTAGCACTCAGAACTCTTGTCTCATTGACTCATTGCTGCCCATGTGAGAGAAGATAAACTATGTTCATGCAAAGTAGAGCTTTATTGTACTAGATAGCAGGAACATGATTTAGTCTTGCTTAGAGTGTTATTTTAGAGTAGTATATCTCAGATGTGCCTTTTACCTTACCTTACGTTTGTGGATGATGATAATGTGTATCATATCTACCTGGAAGAACCTCCAAGTTGATTAAGTCCTATTTTTATAAAAGAAGTCACATCACCCACTCATCTGCTGTCTCATCCTCTGAGAGAACAGTGTATTTTAAGAATTAATAATCACTGATTTAAACTAATGGCAACTAATTTCTTTAAGACTTAGAAAAATCAGCTTCTCATTCTTCCTCTTCTGTTCTTTATTGCTGGAAATCAAACTCAGGGCCTTCCCACTGATCTATAGTCTAGTCCCCCCACCTTTGTAAAACGTTTTCAGACACGTTGGGATTAGAGGTGTGCACCACTATGTCCAGATAATTTTTCTTATTTAAAAGGTGTTTTAACTTTTTTTTTTTTTTGACATAGGGTCCTTCGGAGGCATTAGATTATATCTGCCAGAGTTGATTACCATTACCCAGAAGGCTTTACAGTCTCAGTCATGGAAAATGAAAGCCCAGGGTGCAATTGCCATGGCATCAATTGCAAAGCAAACCAGCTCTTTAGTGCCTCCATATCTGGGAATGATACTGAGTGCTTTGCTGCAGGGCCTGGCTGGCAGAACATGGGCCGGAAAGGTAAAGAAAATCTTAATGTTCAGTTAAATTAAGGAATTCTTAAAGGAGTATGACTTCATCTTTCATTTTCTATGAAATTAATCTGGTTTTGTATGATTTGAGATACATTGTTTTTGGAGCTGTATTTCCTATCCATTGGGAAGCTTTTTGTAAACTTTGCATGATTAACGATGTTCACATCAAAGTGTAACCTTTGTGCTTTTGAATAATGTACGGTTATATGGGAGAATTTTTTTTATACTCAGCTTTTGGAGTTAGCTCTTAAACCAAGTCATTACCCTTTTGTATGAAGTCAGAGTCTGGCATAGCAAAATTGAGTAGAAATCTGCTTCTAAACGTAAGCCTGAAGTTACCCATCTTTGAGGCCTGTGATTAGAGACAGTTTTTGTACAAGGCCTTTAGTAAAATATGTTCAGAGCACTCAGTAGGGAACATGAGATTGTGGCAACATGCAGCATTTTTTTTAATGTAATGGTCACTAGTGGCCAGTGATGTATTGTAGAAATAGTACTGCACTGGAAATAAATCATCTTAATTTTATGGTTAGTATTTCTGCTGGGTGATGTTGATCAAATTACTCCTCAGGCATTTAAGAAATAGAGGTGAAGATAATTGTCCTACATTCATGAGTTGGGATAAAAGTTGATGTGTCTGTCAGTAAAGTGCATTAAAGATAAAGATGAATTTTGTTAATTTTTATTATCATGATGTGGAGAATGTGGCATGTTTAGGCTTAATGCTGTTCCTTTTTTCACCTCTTAGGAAGAACTATTGAAAGCTATTGCCTGTGTGGTGACAGCTTGCAGGTAAATGTTCTTTTAATGAACATGCCACTTCCTAAGTCAAACCTGGAAATTACAGCCATTATTAACCATTTTGATGCTTTTATGTGGATCCTCTAGTGCAGAGCTGGAAAAGTCTGTGCCTAATCAACCCAGCACAAATGAAATTCTTCAGGCTGTTCTAAAGGAGTGTTGCCGGGAGAATCTCAAATACAAGATTGTAGCAATCAGCTGTACAGCTGATGTGTTGAAGGCCACCAAAGAAGACAGATTCCAGGAATTTTCTAACATTGTCATACCTCTTATCAAGAAGGTATTGATTACATATTCATTCCAGTTTATACTTTAAAAAGTTAAAGATTTTTCTGTGTCTTTATTCCATGCTTTATTAGGATTAATTTAGCTCTAAGTAGCAGAAAAATCCCAAAATACTATAGTTTTACACAAAATAGAAGTCTATTTTTCCTGTAATAGTTGGGAATCTTCAGGAATTTTGATTTGGTCCAGTCCAGTCCTGTCAGGTCCTGTCCTGTCAGGTCCTGTCCTGTCCTGTCTCCCATTCCTTCCCCTCCTTTCCTCTCTTCTCTTCTCTGAGACAGTTTCTCTGTGTAGTTCAGCCTGTCCTTGAAGTTGAGGTGATCCTCTTGCCTCAGCCTCCCAAATGCTGGAATTGTAGGTATCACCACTGCCATTGCAGGATTATGGCCATTATCTTCTGGTCCCTGGGGTATTTGTGTTCCAGGCAGATGGCAGAGGAGAGGAAATAAGGATGAGGAATCACAGTGAGCAAGTCATTTCTCTCTTCTGAGAAGTTTCAGAAGTGGCTGTGTGGCTCTTCCACTTATGTCTGATTGGCCAGTACGTAGCCACATGCACATATCTGGCAGGAGATGAGACTAGGAAGCATGGCTGGCTTTCACGGTGGATGTCCATTTTCCCTCCATAGGAGGAGAGCTGACTTATGGTGAATCCACAGTTTGTGTCATACCGAGCTTTGCCTTGCAGACACATGCAGTCCTCTCTCCTTGTCATCCTAGAGTGGAGACAAGAACCCTTGCGTCATGTGGATTGTCTCTGCATTATACTAAAAGACTTGTTTTATTTGAAAAATGAAGTACATTTTTAAAAGTTGGGTACTAACAGAAAGATTTAGTTTACCTGTTTATTTGTGAAGCATATTTTAAATAGTATTTTTATATCTTGTGTTGCTGCTAATTGGCATCTATTTTCTTTCAAAAATAGCACTGTTTAATTTCTGTTACATAATGATAGTTATAAATTTGGGATACTTGTGTTTTAAATCGATCTTATCACCAAGTGGCTGGAAGAGTTATTTCTGGCTCAATTCCTCATTTATCAAGAACGTTTAGGTTTAGACCATTAACTGGGTTCTTTCCATCTTTTTCTCTGATTCTGATGCAGGTCCCCTTAGGTTGTATACAAACACTGGGTATACAGTATTTGTTTTTTTGGCTATTGTTTACAGTTTTTTAAAAAAAATGTTCTCCAGATTATTAGAGATTTAGTATCTCTGTTTAAATTCTTGTTACAAATAGAAAAACTTATGGTAGGTAATTTATTATTTAGTTTTTGGCCAACATCTACTTTGTTATCCTGGTTGTTTTAGTAGTGTACCTGTAATTTTGAATCTGAGAGTATGTTAAGTAGTGTACCTGTAATTTTGAATCTTAGAGTTTTTTTTCTTTCCTGTTCTTGACATGCCCTAGAACTTGCTTGAAAGCATGGGAGTCCGGACACCTAAAACTGAAGATGAGAATGAAAAGGAAAGGGAGCTGCAGCTGGAGTCTCTGCTGGGTGCCTTTGAAAGTCTGGGCAAAGCCTGGCCTCGGAACGAAGAGACTCAGCGTAAGCACCAGAACCTGCATTTGGAGAACTGCTGCAACCAGGGGTTACTTAATAAGAGCATAGATTTTCTATGTGGTTGACTATTGTTTCTTGTAGTCTTACTGGTTAATAGTAAGAATTACTCAATATGAATTTTACTCCTGCAGCAGCACATAATCTCAGTGACCATTGTGTTACTAGGGTCACTAAAAGAAATACAGTATTGCAGACTTGAGTGGCTTAACAGAAATTTATTTTCCCACAATTCTGGAGAAGTCTGAGATCAAGGTGTTGACAAAGTTGGTTTCTTCTAAGACTTCTCTCTGTGTCTCTGTTCTATTCTTGTAAGGCCATCAGTCATATTGAACAAGGACCCACTTATACAACCTCCTTAAAGAGTGTATCTTTTAACACAGTCACATTCTGAGGTGTGAGAGTTTAGTACTTGCAGCTCGAGAATTTCGGATGACATAGTTCAGTCTGTGATAATTATCAGACATTTTATATGGATAGTTTGACTATAAAAATTTTCTCTTAAACCTTATGATCATAGCCCTACTCTGAGGAACTCGTAGCTTTCATTAGTGAAGTTTCTTCAGTTCAGAAATGAATGGCCTTGCTCTCAGTTCTTCAGTAAGCAAGTAAGGTCTGTTTTATGGAGAAACCCATGACTGAGAGATTTTTCAGAGTTGGGCACATATTTCCAAAAGATTAGATGACAGTAAACCTTGCTTTTTGGATCAGGTTGCAGTGTGGAATCTTTTGATAGGGCTTAAACTTGGACTGATGCTAATCTTCCCTTTGCCTTGTTCTGGGTCTGTACTCTGTCTTGCTAAACATTTTGGTATTCTCGCATGTTACAAAGACCGTTATTGATTATCCATGACTCATGTACCTAAAATCAGATATAGGATTTTCTTTGAGCCCATTCTTTTTGTAAAATATATTTATATATATACATATATATATAGGAAGGAATTCTCTAGAAGACACTGTATAAACTTGTAATGGTATTTTTATTTTTATTTTTCTAGTATTTTAAATCTCTTTGGTATATGACCAATGAAGCAGGTGGAACAATAACACAATTCTGATATAATTATTTAATAGTTGCACATATATAGCTATTAGATTATGTATGCATGTTGTTTTCCATGTACTGAGTTGTACACTTTGGAATGTGAAGAACATTGTACCTAAGTCAGCTTTCTTCGCTTGAGACGAGTATGATCAATTAGAGTCTAATTGCTAAGTCTAATTCTGATTAGCTTAGGGTACATAATTACTTTACTGCATTAATAATTTTATGAAAAGCAAAAATAGATTTTTTAATTAACAAATTCTTCTTCCGAATTTTACACATATTAGATGGTTTTAGAGCAGTGGTTTGCTCAGCCGTGATTTTCTGAGGGTGAGCCAATGGCATTATTATATTATTTACATTTCTTCCTGTATTTATACACCTGGGCCAGTTTAAAGTAATCTTGGAAACAATTGAACTGGTGTTATTTTTGGTATAATGTTTTATAGAGTTCAGTGCAAGTTCACTTACTTAATACCACTGGGCCTATTTTGCTAATAGCTAGGGAAAGTTTAAGTGGGATATTAAAGAAGCTATAAACACAAAGCAGTTGCCTTTACCAGAAGATGTAGAAATATTCCAGTTGTTAAGCAAAGGGCCAAGGCCTTTCCTTTAAGAATTTAACTGTCAATACATTGACTTTTCACATGTATCTTACTCAACGTATTACCTGAAATTTCTGAGTTTTGCTTCTTTAAAATAGAGAAAGCGATTATAAACTATTATGAAGTGATTCTATTGCAGAATTTTAGGTTTCTACTTTTTCCTTCATGATTACATTTGTTTGAATACTGCTAAATTCGATAGCATTTAAAAAATGACTTTTGTTATATTTCATATTCCAGATTCATCAGTTAGCATAATATTAATTATATAATTATAATAACAATTCTATCTGTCACAACAGATTTGTAGTAAAAGTCTGTTGAAGTTTCTGGATATCAAGAGGGAGCTCCAGAATTCTGTTTTCTTTGGCATCATTCAGCGAGTTTTAAAGGGAAAGGGGAGGGAGTTAAGCTACTTGCTGTCTTGGTTCAGTGGATGATGGTAATGGTTTGAAAGCAAACACTTATGAACAGCTAGATTTTGTGTTGAAGGGGGTTCTAGTCAAGGAATTGGGCACAAACCATGCTGAATTTGCAAGTTTCATGATTTTAATTAAAGGCTTTATTATTCCCCTTTCCCCACATACTTTTTTCTTTTATCCCTCTGTCTCTTTCTTGTGCTGCTTTTCCCTCTGTCTCTCATTTCTTCTTTCTTGGCTTTTCATATACTTTCTTATACTTTGTCTTTTTTCCAGGCTGTTATCGTCAGGAATTGTGCAAATTGATGTGTGAACGGCTAAAACTCAGCACGTGGAAAGTGCAGCTAGGCGTCCTCCAGTCAATGAATGCCTTTTTTCAGGGGTAATTTGCTGCATGGCTTAGATTATGTCTACCTTTCCCCACTAGAATTCTTTACATAATCAATGAAATTCTTATAAATTTCCAAGCTAGTTAAGTGGCATAAGTGATGCATGCATATAGTAATTGTTGTATCTTGCTGTTTGATTTGTATAGGTTAATGCTTCTGGAAGAAGAACATGCAGATCCTGAGGCTTTGGCTGAAATTCTCCTTGAAACTTGTAAATCTATCACATATTCTTTAGGTGAGTATAGTTTTGTTTTGTTTTTTTTTTTAAACTGGGAATTGAACTCAGGACCTTGTGCTTGCCAGGCAGGCGCTTTGCCACCAAGCTATATCCCTAGCCCTAACCAAGTATAGTAAACTGAAATTGACAAGGAGTCCTAACTTTAAAACCAAGGACTCGAGTCCCAAATATTTCTGGTCTAGTCCCAGCAGCTAAATTTTTAGAATAATTATGAAACTGTCCTACTTAAGGGGCTCCATATAGTTCCTAAATTGGACTATTTTGATCTGGAATTATAATAGGATTTTAACTCTTAGGTTTAAACTTCGGTGAAAAGTATTTAAAACATTTTTTAAAATTTGAAAATAACTCAGACTTACAAAACAATTACAGTGATAGTTAATGTAATATAAATATTACATTATAATATATATATATATGCTTTACTCAGTTATATATTAACATTCTGTCCCATTTTTTTCCCCTGTGGATTTCTGTATACATGGTTTTTTCCTATACCATTTGAAAGTATGTTACTTACATCATGCCCCTTTATTCCACAATTTTTCAGTGTGTATTCCTTTATATAACCATAGCACAGTTCCCACAGATGTAATGTTTCTTGGTTTTTTTTTTTGTTTGTTTGTTTTGTTTTTTTTTGAGACAGGATCTCAATACATAGTCCAGGGTGGTTTTCATCTCACTATGTAGCCCAAACTGGCTCAAAAATCACTGTTACTGTCCTACCTCCGCTTCCCAAGTGCTGGGATTACAGCAGTATTTTCTTAGCAAATTTGTACCACTTGATATTCTGGTTTTTTTTTTTTTTTTTCCTAGTTTAACCAATAATATTCTCTCTGTGGGATTTTCCCCCCTGCTTTTAAGAAGGCCAGCCCAAGATCACTTTTTGCATTTAGTTGTTATATTTTTTTATTCTTCTTTAACCTGGATACTTCAGCATTTCTTTGTCTCCTATGATATTGATAATTTTGGGCCAGGGATTTAGCTTGGTGGCATAAACATCTGCCTGGCAAGTGCAAGGTCGTGAGTTTGATCTCTGGTACCCCCCAAAAAAAAAATAGTATTGATAATTTTGAAGAATAAAGTTCCCCTGCTTCCTATTTTGAAAAACAGAATGCTCCTCATTTCTTGTCTGACATCTCCTCATAATTAGATACAGTCCATGCATTCCTAGTTGAGATTTTACATATGCAGTATATTGTTTTTCTTTATATCAGTAGCTACAGTGTCTGTTTATCTTGATTTGGACATTAATTTTGAGTATCTAGCCAAGGTATTTCAGTTTCTACTTCTGCTGTAGTTTCTACTTTTCTCCTTGTGTTTAATAAGCAACCTATGGGAACATACTTTGTCCACTGTCCAACTGCAAAGCTGTAAAACTGTGCCTAGTAAGCAGTCTGTGAGAAGACATTCTAAGACCGTATCATAACACTTCTCATCTTCAGTATTTATTCTCTAGATTTAGCACACCCACATGATCCTTCTCTGACCCATTTTTCCTAGGTTGATTTTTTTTTTTTTTTAAACTATAGGACCTTCTCCCATCTACCATTTGGGAGTTGATACTGTATTGTAAGCAAGATTTTCTTTTCTCCGTAGCTGGCATTCTTTCCAGTCCCCTCAGCTCCCAGCGATTTATCATTACTTTTCTTTTGTTACTCAAGTTGCCCCCAGAATTAGCTGGTGGAAGCCCCTTTAGGCTGATTCTTTTTATTTGTCGAGCAGATCATATTCTTCATAACACTTCTTCACTACCCTGTGTTTGGCTGTGTGTTGACTATTTTGGGTGGACAATTTCTGTGTGAACTGGAAGCCATCTCAAAGAGTAGATACAAGTGAAGCATGATGCAGTTGCAGTTCTTGGCAGCAACATGCTTTGATGGGAGAAACTGGCAGCTAACAACTTATCTGCAGGGTTCCAGATTTCCCTGTGCTGTCCTCAACACTGGGTTGTACCGTGTTCTTTGGTAAAATTGGGAGTATTGTGCACGTCTACAGATCTTTCTTAGGTGTGCTGTGACAGTGACCATGTTTGATGATGACATGTTTGAGGTACTGCCTTTGGTCTACCACATCTAAAACAAGTCTTTACAATCTCACCATTTGTTTGGTGATTGGTATATTTAGCACAGCCTCCCACAGCAAGGAATGCGGGTAAGTATTTAATGATAATTAGTGGAGAGCAGTTTACTTAAAAAGAACCCAAAAGGCAAACCAGGTATTTCCTTCCATAGAGTTATAAATTCTGAATATCTTTTAGTTATACTAATTTAATCTTGGAAGTTTTATCTTTAAAGCATACAAACAAACTGTATGATTTTCTTCTTAGAAAATAAGACATACTCATCTGTGAGAACAGAAGCTTTATCTGTGATAGAATTACTGCTTAAGAGACTTGAAGGTGAGTTTTTATAGTTCTGACTGGAGTACCAACAAGCCAGGATAACTTATGGCATACATTTAAAAAATATTTGTTTCCTGTTCTTTGCTTACTTTCTAAATTATAAGTGAATATATGTATATATGCAAGTAGAAGTGTAAGATTAAAACCATTAAATTTTAAGTACTTAAATTTGGTATTCTTAATTTATATACTTCTCATAGACTACACTATATGCTTTTTGGTACTCTTAACTTATATATTTATGTACTATAAAGCTATAGTTATCTCAGAATTTATAATAAAGTTGTTGTTTTTGTGATGAATTCTGACTTGGTCTTGGTTAGTTCAAGAAGATGGTTGACAGTGCCATCATAGAGGTTCATTGAATATATGTAAATAAACAGAATGACACTCTGCAAAGAGGATTAGGAACTATTTTGACAATGACTCACTTGAGTCATTAGGTTTTATAGTAGGATTTTAATTTTAGCCCTGCTCCACAGTCCATCTTTCTCTCAATCCTTTCTTTTTTTAAAAAAGCTTTATCAAAAAGTAGATTTCTTTAAATCATCTCTTGTATCATTGGTAAACAAAACCTGCTAGACCTGTCTACAGTGGTTGTCTCTGTCATAATTTCAGCAAGTATGTTTTATTTTCCCTCTTCTTTTTTAAAAAACTGTTGTGACCCTGTGGATGAGATAGTGAATATGAAGAGTTTTCTTCACAGTGTTGTGTATTCTGTCTTCATTATCCCTCAGGTCTGTCTCTACACCTCATTTAATTTTTTCTGTTTTTTTTTTTTTTACAGAGTCTAGCTGTGTAGTTCAGGTTAGCTTGGAATTCACTGTGTAGCCCACGTTGGCCTTAAAGTCACAGTGATCCTCCTGCCTCAGCCTCTGAAGTGGTGGGATTACTGGTGAACACCACCATACCTGATTTGTTTTGTTGTTGTAGAGACACGGTCTCACTGTGTAATTCAGGGTGCCCTTGAACTGAACTGTGTAGCTGAGGCTGGCCTTGAACTCTTGGCAATCCTTTTGCCTTAGCCTCTCAAATGCTGGGATTACAGGTGTGTATCACCATGCCAGATACCCCCTTTAACAATTGAAACTTCTCTTAGGTTTCCATAAAATATTAAATACCAGTACCGTTTTTTTCTTATTAAAGTAAAAGAGCTATGCACTTAGTCCTTATGTTGACTTTTCAGTTTGCCAGATACAGTACTAATATAATGTAGACATTATTCTGTGAGTGCATGTGCTAATAAATTCTAAGTGAGGCCAGAAGGTTTAATAGCTTGCATGAAGCCATTTCACTGAAGAGTGGCAGAGCTTCATAAACAAGATGCAGGATTTTCTAAAATTTTCTGAATGTATGTGATTCCTTAATGCTTTCCTTAAAGTATAATTTTATTTAAACCAATCTTGCAATTATGAAACTATATATGCAAGTTTTTTTTACTGTATCTTACGAAGTGACTTTTTGTTGTTACTGAAATAATTTTTTTGCTACTGTGTGCCCTGCTTTGATGTTTCCTTCTTTTCACTTTGCTGCAGTGTTCATTTCTTTTCATCCCACTAGGGAAAGAGGATGGAACTCTCTGATAATGCTTTCAGGCTGTTGTTAGTGATTGGGTTTTGTGACATCTACTGAACTTGTACTTAAGCATTGATTTGTTTAAAAGATTTGCTCTATAGATATTTTGGGAGCAGCATATATGGAAGAAAAGTAATTTTTTTTTCTTGCTTATTCTACAAGGGTTCTTTGGCTTTTTTTTTTCTTTCCTTCCCATTTAGAATCTAAACAGTGGGAAAGTTTGACATCTGAATGCAGAGTGCTCCTGGTTGAGTCTTTAGCTACTATGGAAACAGACAGCAGACCTGAGCTTCAGGAGAAAGCATCATTACTGAAGAAAACACTTGAAAATCTGTAATAAATTAGAAGAGGATGAAACAAAGAAGTGCCATGTTCACTGGGGTTGAAATGGTGGTATTCTCTGAAAAACCAAGTGGGGAAAAGTAAAGATTAATCTGTAGCATGCGTCATTCCTTGGCTGAAATAAAAAAAAAAAAAGCCTTAAATTTTGTTCCTTATTAGCTTTATTTTACTTGATGTTTTTAAAGTGTGTGGCCTAAATGAACTTAATAGAACCTTTGGTGTTTGAGAATTGGTTGTAAACGAGAGTGTGGAAACAGTTCGCTAAAACAATTAAAGCTGTTAAAAAAGGAATTAGTAGATACAGTTGCAGAGCAAGTTAATAAAAATCTTAGAACTGCATCCAAGCTAAAGTTACTTCAAAAAGGTAACCTGTAAATCATTTACAATGTAACTTCTCTTACACCTCAAGAAATGGACTCACAGATGACAGCACTTCCTTTCTGAAGTTTATGACAAAGTCAGAACCAGGGGCTGAATGTTCTTTTCAGTACACTTTCTTTTACAACATATGTCAGATCAGTGCTAATCCTGGGCGATACTCAAAAACCCCCAAGATGAGGTACATTTAGCGCAGTGGTAGTAAACCCATGGCACGTGTGTCACTGTGTTTTTCTTATAAGACAGAAGATGTTAATGTATGAGTTTTTCCTAAACTAAAACCTCACTCTTTCAAGTTTAATTAAAGTGTTGGCATTTGGGTTAAATGAGTAGGTTTTAATTTGGGAACTTGGGCTCGGAAAGGTTCACCATCACTGATTCAGTCCTCATATCAGAGCTAAAATGACAGTTATCACTGAACTCTTGAAAATAAAAGCTGAACATTGTTCAGAATCTGGTTTGTCTAGCCCACCACTATTGGACTACATGTGACCCTGGGTGGCAAATAATGGGTCCCCACTAGAACATGATGCAAGCTTACAGTGTTATTCTATGATTTTTAGTGATTTTTTTTCTTCCAAGACCTTGTTGCATGGTACTTGAGTATAGCCAGCGTAAGCAAAAAAGGAATGAATATTACATAGGGGAGGGTGCAGTGCAGTGCTGACGCTGCTCGTGCACCTGGCACACTTGATCAGTTGAAGCCCACGTGTATCAAATGTTAAAACTTGGCAAGTAAAACACAGTGATGACCAATAAGAACATTTCCACCTATCGCCACATATGTGTACCTATAGAGCCAGACATTATTGTTATGAAGCAAACATATATAAGTTTGCTTATTTAATAAACTTGGGCTTGTTTTATTTCATAAAATAATAATTTTAACATTTTGTTATATACATATATCAACTATATCATATTTATTGTTTTTTTTTTTTTTTTTTTTTTTTTTGATGCTGGGACTCGAACTCAACCTCACACTTGCCAGGTGGGCACTGTGCCTGTGAGCTGTATCCTTGGACCCTCATAATTATTGTTATACAGTCCGTGACAGTTATTTACTCAGTGGGGTCCTAGGTAAGCCAAAAAGTTGGAAATCTATAGTTTAGATGGTTAATTTTTAGAAAGAGACATTTTAGCTCTTTACAGGTTAAGAAGACAACTTTAGTCCCCATATAATTTGAATTGAAGTCCTTTTAAAGGCAGGTAAAAGTTGATTAGGACAACATTGCTCTGTTTGTATCTGTAATAGTATATTTTGCAAACCCCAACCCAAAAACATGAAATTGCAGACTGAATCATTTATAACTCTAAAACTGGAACAACTACTTAAAATTTTCTATTCACGGGGCGGGGGATTTAGCTCAGCGGCATAAGTACCTGTCTTGCAAGCAGGTAGTCGTGAGTTCGATCCTTGGTACCCATAAAAATGAAAAAGACAAAAATTTTTTTTCTATTCACTTTGTGCTAATAGTATGACTTTGTAGGGTGAAAGGAAAGCCTTTAAATTAGCCATCTGAGAATTCGTACTTTTTAAATGCCCTTTTTCAAAATAACACAATACCACTCCCAGTAAACAGTTGTGGCCAGGGTTTCTTTTTCTTCGTTGTGCTGCTCATGCCCCTGCCGAAGGGTGTCGGTAAGTTTAACCTAAGTGTTTAGGGTAAGCTGAGAGCGCTTTAGCTTGCCTTGGATTCCAGAGCACAAGATTACTTACATTCAGTACTGTCCCTTTCTTGTCATTATTATCGGAAGTCTCCAATGACCAAACTGTTTCAAAATTTTTTTGACTGTGACTGAATAAAAACAATTCTACATCATGGCCAAAAACAATGTGTATGACTATATTGTATATCGAGATATCTAAAATAAAATGTTTCGTGAAATGACAGTTATGTGATACACTTTGATCTCTCTCTCTTTCCATGGTAAGTGTTCTTCAGACCCCTTGTATTCAGTTCCTGATCACAGGTGTTTTGCTACTAGGTTTGAAAAACACTGCCTTAGGTAATATCTAAATTTGCTGGTGTGTGCTGCGGGGAGTTATTCCTGACTAGGAAAAGAGAATAAAAATTTTAGTATTTAGTACCAAAATCCTTTTTGCTGATATTTAATTATAGTTGTGAGTTATTGTAGCATCATGAATTTTTTGAAAATGGCTTTTACTTGGAGGAAGTCACCTTTGGGTGTTTTTCAGAAAGCTGTGACCTTTCAGGACTTGTTTTCCAGAGCAGTGTTTTTCCTCTACTCAGTGCACTCTCTTGCATTTATAATAACTATCATTACTCTTCCCTGGCAAGAATGTAGTGAGTGTTAACAGGATGTAAGGCTCAGTGTGGTGTGCTTGTCTATAGCAAGTGTTAAACCTCAGCAAATTGTGTGTTTTTACATTGAAAGAATCATCCGTTTTCTATATTTGACATTCTAATGGAAAAAATTTTTTTACAAATTCAAAATACTCTTAAAAATTGAAAAATTAATTTATATAAACATATACAAAGATTGTATTATATTACTTAAAAACCCCAAATAAAAATGAGAATCACCATCACAGAACAATGAAGGAATAATAAAAGACAAATTTATCACTGATTTAATATCTAGCTGTGAAATAATAGACTTTTGCTTTATGTCTTTTGTTAAGCAAAACATTAAAAATTTAATACAGCCAAATTGTGACATAACACTTGTAAATGCATTATTTTATACACCAGCAATGGGGATACTTGTAAGACTTTCGTGTTACAATTTAGAGAATTAGTGATAAACTGTTTACCTGTGGAAAAAATACCTCATGCACAAATTAAAAACCATTCATTTATAGAAGCTTATTTAGGATCAACAAGAAACACAAACATGCACACATAATGTAAAAATGTTACAAAAAATTAATGGAAAGAACGGATGCCACTGTGGCCGCAAAAAATGGCCAGATGTGTTTTGGCATTTGGTGCACTCTGCACAAATCAGCTGCCTTTATGTATTAAATGTCTTAAATTCACAAATTTCTTTAATTAAAATAAATCTAATTATTGTGATTGTTGGTATGGCCAGTATTAATACTTATATTTGGGCAGTCATACTCAAATTTAAGCAACTAAATAAATTTGGTCCATTCTTAGACTTTTTATTAGTTAAATCGATGAGTACGACCAGTGGTCCAAGCCCCCTTAAAGGATAGTCATCATGTACCACCACCAGAGGTTCAAGCTGATGGGAATGTATTAAGAGTATTATTATTTATTATTGAAAATTTCTTTTGGGGCTGGGGATTTAGCTCAGCGGCATAAGCACCTGCCTCGCAAGCAGGCAGTCATGAGTTCGATCCCCGGTACCGATAAAAAGGAAAAAGACAAAAAAAAAAACTTAAAAAAAAAAAAAGAAAATTTCTTTTGATGCTGAGGTCAGTGCTAAGATGCTAGACTCTTAGTGCTACTGAATTACGTTTTTATTTTCTAAGTACATTTTTACTTCCATATTTAATATTTTTCATCTTGGCCACCCAAATGATTTACACGATTTAGTAATGCTAAATTGCTTTATAGTGCAGCTTATGTTTGATACACATGCATTTATTTAAAGGGATTAATAGTTTTTTATAAAAGGATTAATAGTTTGTACAGTGTCAATACTGGTGAACATTTGTAAAAGTACCCATACATGTGTGTCTTGAATCTTCATTTTCCAGAGCTTCCTGGAACACATTTTGATTATTTTCTTCCTGCAAGTGGTGCTGTTTGTCTTACAACTTGTATTTGTAGGGTCTGTTGCTGAATTCTTTCTTCTAACTTTAGTCTTCTGTGTCTTTCAGATTTTATTGATATATGAAAAGGAGATACCTAAAGGTGACAATTGGAAATAACCATCAGAGTTGTATGAATTTGCAGTTTTGATGATGATAAAGTTGTTTTAATGAATGTTTAATTTACAGTTCCCAGGGTGTCTGCCTATCAGTCTTCCTACACAAGACTGCCACCACATTCTTTGCCTATCTGTTCCTTATGTATTTACTACTAATAAAAAAGAATAAAAGATTGGACTCGTTGGTCTTTTAGCAGTAGTACATTGTGTGAACAGTGTGTATTTTGTGAGACATTTCTACCTGATGCTTCCACAATATATTTATGCTGCTTATGTCCAGGGAGGAGTTCTGATATTAGCACTCGCTGAAATGTACAAACATTTTCGTAAATGTATGAATATATGGAATATTTTTGTATGTGTTGTCAGAATCTGCAGTGTGTACTCAGCTGGCTAACCATGTGATAGACTTCCTTGAAAATAAGAAAAAAATCTCATGCATTTCCAAGAAGATATTAAATGGAAAATAAAATTTGAATTGAGGTAATGCGTTAATTTTTTTTTTTTTGGTCCTTTTTGAGGCGGGGTCTCGCTGTGCAGTTCAGGCTGGCCTTGAGCTCACTTTGTAGCCCAGGCTGGTCTCGAACCTCAGCCTCAGCCTCCCAAGTGCTGGGATTACAGCGTGAGCCACCACACCCGGCTCTCTGTGGTACTGGGGATTGAACTCACGACCATGCGCTTGCCAGGCAGGCGCTTATGCTGCTGAGCTAAATCCCAGCCCTTGCATTAATTTTTTACAGTTATCTAGGAAAAATTTTGGCAACCAAGGCATTAAGTAGCAATACTTGAATAAAGGACCTTGATGTCTGCCATATTCTGAGAGAATTAGTAGAAATTGCTGGTTTGAGCATCAGTTTCAAGTCAAAGCAGAAAACACTGATGTGCTTTCAGATTTTTGGAGAAATACTGGCATTGAAAAATTATATTTTCAAATAGTTAAAGAGGCCAGATGAAAACAGCAGTTCTTTCGACTAAGATTAATATATATGGTTATGTACATAAAATATCAAAGGACTGGGCACATCCCATATTATAGATTATCAAGCAAATTTAAGGTTTGGAAGATATATTTGGAAATGAGAGATAACTTGGTTATTCCCTGGTCACCAGCAAGTCTAATATGTTCCCTGATAAAATACTTACTCCTTTCAAGCAGGTTCCAAATGATTGCAGTAGCAGTTTTTAAAAAAAGTAAAATCATAAGGTTACAAAATTTTAAATATCTTTCAAGTGATGGTTATAGAAACTTCATCTTTTAAATTTAACACAAGTAGCATTGATAAAGCCTTTATTAAGTATAAAGTCAGTGAGAAAACAATAGGAATACTGTTTTAGTTTTAAATAGTCATAAAAAGAGTAAAATCAACTTTGGATATAGAAATACAACTGTGTTAGAAATACAGTTATGCTATTTTGATTCCAGACCAGTCTTCAAGTACAATATCTTTTAGGAATATCAGTTGAAGCATCTTTTCGTTAGCTATTTGTTGTACTTCAGCATTGTGAAGATGTCCCACTGTTTCTAGCCTCTAGGATTGCTAATGTATCTAAACATTTAACACATCACTTGGATGTGATGTGTAATTTTCCTGTTTTTGCCTTCATGATTTACTTTAGTTTTCAATTTCAGCACTGTAATACATGTAGGTATGGCTTTTTGAATTTATCCTTTGGCTTATTTTTTATTTATTTATTTATTTATTTTTGAGACAGGGTCTTGCAGTACAGTTCAGGTTGGCTGTGAGCTCACTTTGTAGCCCAGGCTGGTCTCAAGCTTGCAACAGTCCTGCCTCAGTCTCCCAAATGCTGGGATTACAGGCATGTGCCTCATGTCTGGCTGTAGGCTTTTGAATTTTAACATTTATGCATTTACCATATTTGGAATATTATTTATTTAATTTTGGCTTTTAAAAAATTAATTCTTTTCTGTACTATTTTCTTCCTCTTTTCTGGAACTCCAGTTAAACCTGTGCTAGATAATTTATTATTCCACAGATACCAACTGTTTAACAAAATCTTTTTTTTTTAATTTTTTTTAATTTTTTATTTTTTTTCTTATTTTTTTTAAATTTTATTTAAGGAGAAAAGAAAAAAAAAGCAGAGAAAGGGTACAAGTTATACAGATTTGCAGAAAAAAAATGAACAGTAGGAAATCACTAGTTAATGGATTACATATTGTCATCTTAGAAATAATTGTTCAAGTCACAAAATTAAAGCTTGTAAAGTGGACATTCCATCAATGATACTGCAAACAGTTCTGTTCAATGATCCAATAAAACTCTGTGGTAACATTTTCTATCTTATACACTTAAATATACATGCAGTTATATAGTTTAGAGCACTTTCTTTTCCTCTCTTTTGTACAATGACTATTACACATTTTGGGTTTCGTTGCTCCCACGGTTCTTACTACTTTTTTGGAAGAGAGTAAAACCAAATGTGACATAACAGAACCGAATCGGTCAAGTCAAAAGGGTAGACATAATAGATAATGTGAAAACATAATACAAGGTGATCAACAATGGTTACCATAATGCCTCCTGCTATCTCGAATAGACTTGCCTATATCGTTAGTTACAATACAATTGAACAAAACAGTAAAGAATAAAACCGACAAAACCAAAACATTGGAGACATTGTAGGTCTTCAAAAGTAGATAAGAGTCAATGAGAATGGGCGTTATAATGAATCTCATTATCTTCACAGCTGAGGCCTAAATTTTCGAACCTGATACTATCCAGCAAAACAGAATAGGGGAACATCGGTCAAAAACCAGATGGTGAGAGTAATACAGGGCTTTAAATCGAGGTAATGGAAAGTCAAAGTGAGTTACTATAATATATCCTGCTATTTTTTTTCCTTTAATTAAAAGGATAAAAATAAAAAAATAATGGAGTGGAGATTGAGATAAAAGAGGGCATAACAACGAAGCAGCACAGATCAAAACATAACCATTTAAGCAGAATAGTGTTTCACCACCAGATAATCCTGACCTAAAAGTAGTTACCATATTGTCTCTTTCCTTGAAAT